TTTATCTTTGTGAGTTCTTGTAGTAAAAAATTGTACACCATAAGGGATGGCGAGTTGCCACGTCCTCAAAGTGACTGGTAACTGTTGTACGTATTTGACCATATTAGTACTTAAGCTTCAGCTGTAAACAGACTGTTTCTTATGGAATGATTATTAGTTTTTTAAAAATTTTAAAAGGCAAGCTCTGTAGCTTCAAAATAATGTAAGTTGTAACCATAACATGTTGGTGCAAAATTAATATATTTTAAAGTATCAAAGGATGTCAAACATGCTATTTTTTCATGTAGATGGTTTGAAATTGTTTTTAACCCTTTAACTCTTAGAAGTAATTAATGTATAACTTCTCCATATAATATCCATAAATTATCCAGCAAGCAGCTAATGAGATTGCTCAACCTTATTAGTAAGAAGTTGTTACCTTTATTGAACACCAATTTCTCATAACCAATGTATAAGGAAATGTGTAGCAGCAAGAGGGGAGAATTGAAAATAAGATCTTGGGAGTTATAGGGTTAAAGGAGAAAATGATTTTTTTGAACCTTTTCAATAATTAAGTTGATCATCAGCTCAGAATATTTAACAAAGGCAAAGTAAATATTATTGAATAACATGCTAGAGGAAGTTATAATAAGTGGATTATTCAACAATAATTATTGTACATATACTGTACTATACTGATAAATTAAAAAATTATTTCATAATTATTCTCTACACACACACACACACACACACACAATCAAAACATGTGTAGTAGCCATCATGAAGAAGAAAACCCCCATTTTTTTAATAGCAGTGAATTCATGTGCTTTTCAAGTTCACTTTTATTCAGGAGGATGTAGCAAAGTGTATGGATATGACCCCACTTTTCCAGTAATTTATTATCAGCTAACTCAAACTCAGTTAACAGACTTGAACTAATATCACCTTTACTTGGCTTGAATTTACTCTGAACTTTAAGTAAAAACATTGATTGATAAACTTTTAAGTGTTGGTCATAGCTAACACTAAACTTCTCAGACTGTGCTTTCACAAAAGTCATTTATGTGGACTTCAGTTAAAGAAATGAATATGAAAGCAATCTTCACAATAAACGACCCAAATAACCCAAAAAAATATCAATTCAAACTAATTTTCATTTCCCTTGGAAGTTTCAGTTATCAGGGTTCTACTGTTGTCAGAGAGCCTGTATAAATCCATATTTGAGGTATAATACTGAAGTTATTCTTTACCTACATCGTTTTATAATTTACAGTAATTACTTTCCATGATACTGCCATTAAGAAAACCATGAAATTTTTGGCTTTCATAAATTCAATCTTGTAGTGAAGCCATGTAGCATCTGCTAAATTGCAGATTACAGTAATTTTCAAAACTTTTACCTTTTCAAAATTCCCATGACTGACTAAGTAGGGCAGAATATCAAGCAGACAAGTGATGAGAATAGAAAAAAAATATCAATCAGGGGTTTGCTAGTTGATCCAATACCAAATCCTCCAAACTACCATCACAAGAACTGTAAGGCAAACAGTAAAAAAAAAATTATTGAGAACTTGGAGTGAGAGGGATGTATAAGCAGGTTTATTGCGATTGCTATTAAACCAAATGTTGCATCTTGGCATGTATGTACTAAAAGTGTGGCAGCTCTTATCACAAACAGTGGTCAAACTATAAGCTTGTGATTTTCTTTGCAAAAATTAACTGATGTAAACAAGTTTGATTTCATGTCAAAAGAGTTTTGTGTGTGGACCTTGTCTCAGGAAATCTTAGGTCAAGCCACATCGCAAGGTCGGTCAATTTTTGAAACTTTCAAAAACTTAAATAACTACGGTAAATCTGTAATTCTGGTTTTAATGTGGGTTATTTTCCGCCATCAAATAAACCCATCAGCGTAGAATAATACTTGTCAAGGGCTGTAAATTGTGTTTTGTGAATCGTAACATATCAAGGTAAAATATTTTTTTCGGAACCCATCTCCCAAAATGATCAAATTTAAAAATTAAAAAAGGCATCAGCACAAATGTTTTGTTATTTAAACCACAGCCCGTGAGCAACTTACAGCAAGGATTAAGCATAACAAATATGCATATCAGTTATTTTATTGTTATAAACAAACTAGGTAATGACCTAGTGTGCAGAGGAATTGATCGCTCCGTTATACTGACGCAATTGTGAATTACTCCAAACCCTCAACAAAATCTACTAAATGAACTACTAAAAACCCTCCACAAAATCACCTTCTAAGTGCTCGTCAATGCCACTAAGAGATCAAGAAATTTGGCGTACTCAGATAATTTCACGATGGCGTAAATAACACCGAGGGAGTGATCGTACCTATAGAGACGAATTGTGCGCAACTAACAAGCCGCGATGCAAAATTTTGTCTTTTACTTCTGATCTTTATCCAAGACAAACTAGAAATATTTGTTTTTCCTGCATCTACTGCGGTAGACATCACGCGACACTGCTGATCGCGCAGTCAAAAGCTCTACTTCGCATATTTTTTATTTATCTGTAAGTTAGTAGGTGATTAACTAATTCAACGAGGCAGTTATAAGTATAGGAGATTTTTAACGCTCACCCCAATGCCAATCCAGACGCCATAACCGATCTTAGGGCACCAGTGATCCACTGCAATAAGGGATGCAACTCCCAGTATAATTATCAAAGAGCCAAACAACATATGTGCGATAGCTAGACCTCGAAGAGACACAGGATGGTACGCCATGACTACTAACAATATGGCGACTTAATATTCAACGAAATGCTCGAGAATGATGTTTACAAGATGAGACTTTCCAGGACTATATAACATCGTCCTAAACCAGATGAGCCCACGACATATCAGCGGCATCTTGTATGAGTAGCCGCAGTTTACAATGTGACTTCCGCTTTTTCTTGTTGATGCGTACTCACAGTGTACTCGAGTGTTAGGAAGTTCGCGTAGTGCGTCTGAGCCAGTTTCTGCCAGATTTGAACAGAAAAACAGGTCCTTTGTTGGACTGTAATGATACTTTGATGGCGCTGTTAACGAAATGTTTGGCCGGTTCGTAAGTTGTCAACCTGGTTTCGGTCGATCTGATTGATTGCCAACACCTCTTGAAAATCCTGCACACCATCGACCTAAGCCTCATAGCTGCCAAGTGAGCAGAAGAACAATGACATCAAAATACTCGAGAAAGATAAGTATTAATTTTAATTGCATTTGTGTTAAACTTATATGTACAGAAATTTCTGAAGAGGTACTTAATCAGAAGTTTATCTCATGATAAGCCTTCAAAGTTGTATTAAATAAATTGATGTACATATTTCACAATTTTAAGATGATTGTGTGATGACAATACACCGACGGTCAACATTCGAATATTCAGCTTGAGCTTCCTCCTAAATGTTAAGTATTTCAATTTGAACTTGTAGAATATAACCTATGGATTAAATGTGGGTTTATAAGTATCATCCATGAAATTCTTACAGGCAATTTTCATCATGATATTAAAGCACCCCAAACTCAAGAACAAGGAAAAATAAGTTACGCAGAAAACTGAGTTAGGCAGAAAACTGACGGAGAAATTCATAGTTTTCATAATTTTGAATTCATTCATAATTTTGAATTACAAATCATTCAGACCATAGCCACATATAGACTTTTAGATTGTCACTGCTTTTCTTTTGGTGATTGCATGATATGGTACCCGTCTTGACGTTCTTGGGAAAGGAACCATATCATGCAAGTCCAGGCAGTTGATGTAGTGTTTGCGCATTTTGTCTTGGTCATATGACTGCGCTGTGGGGTCTAGGCCATGGCATAAATCTGTAGCAAATGCCAGTGCAAACAAGCCACTGTCATTTGAATTTGTTTGCTTTTGCCCTCTTTCATTAGAAAAAGTGACTGTAGAACCAGTATACAATAGCATGCGACATGAATGATCAATGGCAACCACGCTTACATTTTGATATAAGCTGTCATACACCTTGACAGTTCCAGGACTAGTAGCTATTGTGCTCAGGCAAACCCAGTGTGAGCCAGTGTTTGTGATCTGTACAAACTCACTAATGGCTGGAGTGACTTAAATGCACCCACAAAAACAGGGTCCTTAGACCATCTACAAGAGGGAATTTTTGTTTTAGGAGGATCTGACCAGCATGTATCTCAGAATCACACAGCCATGTTGTCTTGTTTAAAATGTGATCCTTTGAATCTTCATACAGTCTGTTGGTTAGATCTGGAGGCTGTTGGCCTGTGAAAAGTTCCTTCTTTACATAATGATGCAGGTGCCGTTGTATTTCAGAAACACAATTAACACCACTTCCAACAAGCTCATGAATTTTTTTAACCAGTGTCTCATCAATAGGCTGAAGTAGCCCAGCAGTCTGATTACACAACAAGAAAGAAAGAATAATTGCTTTATTATTTATTCATTTAAAAAATTACACAACCTCATCCCCAGGTTTTCTTGGTCAATGGTTCAATAACCTGGAGCCAGCTGCTTTTGATGTCATTGGTTCAATATGAGAAAATTTTTTCCAAATTTGGTCAATAGCAGCTGGTTATGATGAAATATGTGAGTGGTTTTAACCTTTCAGAAACAGGGAAATATTTTGAATTAATAATAATGCAAATTATACCAACATTACTATCGGCAGTCCTCTGGTAGGGCTTTTCAGTAATAGTTACAGAATATTATAATTACAGAGTACTGAACACTGTATTTTTTAAGAAAATCCATTTAAAAAGTCCATGACAGCATTCCATTAAAACAGTGCCAGTGGAAATCCCTCTCCGATAAAATTGTGATATTATAGTCTTGACATTGAGTTTGAGGAATGAGTGCCAGTGTAGCTAAAATAAGCTCTACATGTAGTACATTTTATTGGTCTTTTGTTGTGATGTATAATCTTTATTCATTCTTTACATATATTCGACATGACAGTGGAAGCAGCACAGTCTACAGTAGACTGATGATCTGTGTGAAGTTAAGTCACCTTAAATTCCCTACCAAACTTCAGTTTCCTGATTCCAAAAAAAATTTAATTGATGGCCAAGTACTTACCCTCCCCATGGGGTGAAATAAGTGATCCGTAAGTTTAGGAAGTAATATGTAAATACGCTCCTCTGTAGCTATTGTTTGCTTCTTTTCTGACTCTAGGGATGTTCTCAGAAATTTTGACATTGTCTCCCTTCTACTCTTTGTGTTCTCTGAAATCTAACAATAAAATGTTTTAATTAAAATAATATTTGAAAAATTGGTTTCTAAAATATTCACTCTGTTTCCATTACAGGTAATGTCCAGGTTGTCTTATCATATGTCCACTTCACCTACATGTAACACAAGGCCCATTGGGATCAAGCACCCTTTATTAGGCTAGTGGTCATTCATGTTAATGGTAGTGTCCCCTGAACCCTTATTCAATAATTAAAATAAACTGACCTTATTTTCAGGATACTTGATTATTTTCCTTAGGTGGATCTTTGCTGGACACTCACATTTCTTCGTATCCTGTACTATAAAGCGCTGTTTGGTGTTGTTATAGCAGTGATCAGCATTCTCCTTCTGAAACCAAATAGATTTATTGGATTGTTAGATAGAGCAGTCATATGGGAATAGTCAAGTTATCAATAAACTTAGAAGTAATGAAAAGTATCCTTTAAAATAGTACTTGATTCCTACCTTGTAAACTGCAGTCACAGTGGTCCTTTTTTGCGACTTTGCTTATTTTAACAAATAAAATGTGATATGTCCTTTTACTTGCAAGTGGTAAAAAAGAAAACATTATTGCCTGCTATTAGCCCTGAGGGAGAGGTGAGTGCTCACCAACTTGCTTAGAAAAATCAGTTGGGACTTACCACCTTGTTAGCTTAAGAGCAAATAGGTGAAGGTAAATCAATAACTATGTAATGCCCTACATATGATATCCTCTTTGGGAGTCCTTAAGTAATAATATCATCTTGTTTACATTCTTATTTAGTTAATTAATATGCATGCTTACATCTTTTTGTAGTCTCTTTTGAGCCTCCTTCCTTTTGAGTGCCTTATTTCTGTCTGGCCCATTTTGGCATTCTAAAACTTTGACCCCCACAATTTGGAATGGGATGCCATCAAAACTTAGTCTGCATCCTGTCATCTCCTGTGAGTGAGCCCATTGTATACGGTGGTTCTTAGCATTTTTATCTGCATTTTCTTTTATGTGAGAAGAGGAACAAAGCTAAGTTAGCAATACGATACATGCACACAAACACATACGTACATATGTACACATGGGTGCTTAAAATGGAGGGCCTGAAAATCAAGCCTGCCCCACCCAGATGTAGCCCAAGGACTGGTGTAATGGATGGGGATGCTGGCAGCTGTGTGTCAATAGCACTGAGTAGGGTTTTGACACTTTAAGCTTGATCTTAATTAATTAAGCATTTCTTGCCAACTCTTGCTGCAGGCTCACAGTAAATTGACACTTGAAGCTAAGTTGAATTTTAATTACATGTTAATTTTGAAAGTCTAACTGACCAGGGTAAACCGAAGAATAATGATGTGTACATGTATTCTTAAGATATCAATAATTATTGGAAAAAAGTTAAATCCCTTTTTTTATTTTGATTTATCTATATTTCATGTTAATAACACGATCTCACACGCCCCTGGCTTTAAATACCTATAGTGTCTAAATAAAGTTATACTTCACTTTACTTTACTGTCAGTATGGTTTATTTTGTAAATCTTTACATGTGAGCTTACTTACCCAGCCTACTGCAATTTGAAAATCCTCCTGTTTGTTTAAATACAGTGAAGCGTGTCGTCGTAGCTATCTCGCACTGTTTTATGAGTTCGTCAGCGCTGCTTTCATCGTTAACATACCCGGAATAAGGGTCAAACTGTACGGTCCATCTTGAAGCCCAAGGTGTACTGTTATCAGCCATGTTTGTTCTTCTACCAAACATTTAGATTTCCCGCCAATATTTACCCGCGAGCCGCAAAACATAAATGCATGAGTGTTAAATATTAACTGGACCACCCCTTGGCAAATATATTTATTAGTAGCAAATAAGATGTTGAACAAAAAATTAAGAGATCATGGTCAAATAAAACGTAAAGATAATTTATTACAAGCAGAAAAGAACTGTATGTTTGTTCCAATCGAAAGATTTTACAGTGCAAAGTTATGCAAATGATCTTTGACCTGAATCTGCTTTTGGTCGATGATAGCGAGGTCAGAGGATAACATCGACCGAAACTATTAGGCCGGTCATATTTAAGTGTCGATCCTCCTTTTAACGCCTTTATAACAGGCTAGATTTTTTCTTAAATATGTGATCTAGACAGAAATTAGTTTGTACAAGTTATGGGAAGAATACTTTCGCAATAAAATATTGAAGAATACGACGCTTTATCGTCAGTCACACAGGTCACGGTCTCTTGATTCGCCGGAAACGAGCAGAAAAATAGAAGACTCTCGCTACGATTCCGCTGACGTGTCATGGGCTCATCTGGTTTGGGACGATGATATGTATTGCCCTTGGGGTGTTGTCAATTAATCAGATCGACCGAAACCAGGTCGACAACTTACAAACCAGCCAAACATTTCGTTAACAGCGCCATCGATCAAAATGTCATTACACTCCAACAAAAGACCCGCTTTTCTGTTCAAATCTGCCAGAAACTGGCTCAAACGCACTTCCTATTCCATGAGTACACTGTAAAATACGCTTTAACAAGAATAAGCGGAAGTCACATTGTAAACTGCGGATACTCATACAAGATGCCGCTGATATGTCGTGGGCTCATCTGGTTTAGGACGATGTTATATAGTTATATGTTATATAGGGAGGGGGGGAGGGGGGAGGGGAGAAAGTGAAACTGTTCGTCACTTTAAGCACAAGAGGAACTGAATGTAGAAAATAAAACTGACGAGGAGGTCAATTCATTGACATTTATTTCTTTGATTGGATAAATAGTGTAATTTAGCGCGTGATGTTCTCGTAATTCAGATTATATGACCTAAGTTTATAAATCTTGCTTGCTTTGGGTATGTTGAGGATCAGAACACCCGCTACATCTGATATGACGTCATTATTTTACTTCCTTGTCATTTTCACTTAGTCGCCATTTCGATTGTAGTCATGGTGTACAGAGCGACTTCTTTGCGAGGGTTGGCCATCGCACAGATGGTAATTGGGGCTTTGATGACCGTGTTTGGAGTAGCATGTATTTCCTCTGCTCAACACTGGTCTTCCCACTCTGGTACTGGCGTCTGGGTCGGCCTTTGGGTAAGTTTGCTCTGTTGCTTCGAATGTCGCCTGTATACATTCATATACCTTATTTATGCTCGAAATTCACAGTGTAGCTGTAGAGCTAATATCTTCGAGAAAATAAGCTAAAATAAAATAAAATATGCTTTATTACAATTCCAATATTAGTTATATACTATATACAACATTATGCATGCAGAGGGAAATATAACTTGTAGATCTACTGTGGAAAAGATCTCCTGCTTGAATTCTTGAAAATTTAATGTTTTGTAAGTGTCTGGGAGAGAGTTCCATATTTTGCTAGCTAAGTATGAAAAAGAGTGCAGACCGTAAGTCGTTGTTTTTGGGGTTGGGAAGGGCCAGGATATGATTTCCGCGCAAATTGTAGGATGAAGACCGCGCGGTGAACATATCTTTAAATAACCTGGATAATTCGTAAAAAACACACTCTTATATAACGTGATCATGAAGTTCTGGAGGCGTCTAATGAATAGAGATTTTAAGTTAACTTTGCTTAGTCAAATGCCATATGGAGAGCTGTAGTCCTGTAGAATAAACCTAAGAATGCGCTTATTTAGATTATCTACTTTGCCGGCATTGTGCGCACCACAGAAATGCCAAACAGAGGAACAGTAGTAAAAATGCGGCAAAATAAAGGCTTTATAAAGCTTCAACAGCGTTTCCTTATTAATAACTTTCCGAAATCTAAGTATTAAGTTAAATTGATAATTTATTTTCTTACAGATGACTGATACGTGTTATCAAAAGAGAGCCTATTATCTGTTGTCATCCCAAATATATCTATCGAGTTATTTACTGGGAAACAAAAATTGTGCTCAGTTTTTCCCAGGATTAGAGCTTGGTGCTTTTTCTCGTTAACAATCGTGCCGTTGTTTTTATACCACTGATTTGCGACATTAACTTCTTGACCATGTACATGGACATGTTCATGTACATTACGTTACCAATGTACATGACCTTTTTTCGATTGTGTCAATGGAGCATAATTTGCAGTCTATGACTTTAACATTTGTTTTTTGGATTTGCCTGTAATAAACTTTGATCAACTCACCCTAAATCTCTTAATTTTTAATTTCGAGCTATTGTAGGGATTTAAAGTCGAAAATCTAGAATTTCACTTTTATGTGAATGAGGTTATTATTTTTGGACAGCTGGTCTTTATTCGTTGTAACAGACATTTTGTGGCGTGATTTTTCCACTGAAGCAATATATTTCACTCTTTCGTGTGGTGACTTGTGTGGCAAGCGAAAGATGACTGAGCAGTTCACTGACAGGCGTTAATCAAGGTGTTATTAGAACGTGGATCAGCAGACTGTGGAACCTCTTGAACCTACGATTGTTCAAGGAAAATTATTATACATATAGAATTGAAAAAACCACAACACTCTTAAGCAATCAGCTGTGACCTTCCCTCAAGCGTTAGTAATGTTTGGGTAATGCAATATCGTAATAATGCCTCAACTGAAGGCTCTAATTAGCAAACCTTCAGGATAGAATTGGTGGCCTTTAATTCCATGGCATTGTACATCATGCTGGAGTGAGGAACACAAGCCTTGAAGTAACATTATTGCCCATGATGCAAAAAAGTGTAATTTTGGGTCCTGTAGGTTTTGCTGGTTCCAGATGCTCTAGAAGGTTCCTCAGCCTACTGATCTACAGTTTAGTAACACCTAATTGGTCATCTAAGGGAACTATTTGCACTAAATCATGCAACATGGACTCCATCTCCACTTTAGTTGGTGAAGCTTTATTGACCAGTCCTGTTTGAACTGAATCAAATATTTACAGCCAGCTAAATATTAAAAAAAAAAAATGGTCTTTCGGACTTAAAGAATATTTAAGATGTTGTTATGGTAAATCCATAGGAAGAATACCTTTGCTGTATTAAAAAGATCATTCTACTTGTTTGAATTATTAATAGGTTTTTATCACAGGGATTTTGGGATACATTGGAGCAAGAGATGACTTAATCCCAAACAAGTGTTTGGTGAGTAACTGGACCTTTCACAGAAACCTGTAATTATTTTTTCAAGCCCTTTTCTTGATACAATCATACACACAAGCTTACATGTATATTAGCAGTTAGGGCTGGCTCCTTGTAAAGAGAAAAATGGGATGGAATACTCCACCCTGGTAAATTTCTTCTTTAGTGTTTCCAGGGTATCTACAGTGATTGACATTCATTTAAAAAAGTTGTCAAAAATAAAGGAAGAAGAAAAGAAAGCACCAAGAGGACAAGTAAAACAACTTAAACAGCAAATTGATATTATGCATTATAACTTTATATTTGTAAACATGCACACAATAGTTATCCTGTATATTTTGGATTTTTAAATCAGTTCATGGCTAATGAGTTTAAAGACTTTTTTAGCCATAAATGTTCAAACCATTGCTACAAAGGTTTCTGCATGAGGTATTACTCAAGGCTGGGTACTAACAGGTACATTTAGCTTTTTTTACCCAAAGGGCAGGTGACTGTATATAAGTTTGGGCTTTTAATTGAATAAATACAGTTGATGAAGTGGTGATTGAATTGTGTTGTGTGTTTTTTTATCACCAGATTGGATGTTTTATGGGTTTCTCCATTACTGGGTGTGTCTTCTCAGGACAAATGTTCATCGTCTATTGCATTATTCTTTCAAGCTACTCCGAAATGAAGGCATACTGTTCTAAATCTTATTTTGATCATGACTATGACAGTTTCTATAACAACCGTGATTGTTACGGAACTTATGGCTTTCATAGAGATACAGCCGCAAATGTGGCTGGTTTAGGCTCGTGTCTCCTTCTTCTCTCCTTGGTTGAGTTCTTCTTGGCACTTGCATCGTCCATCTATTGTTGTACAGCAGTGGGTTGTTGTTCCTCAACAGGAGTTGTGAGCACTGTAAGTAATTATCACCTCAACTATTCAGTTGTTAATGCTAAAATTTAAAATTAAATCACTTGTTGGAAATATATATATTTTTTATTTTGCATCAAATATATGTTCATACTGAACATAGGTTTAAACTTGTTACATGACCAAACAATTGGGTCTACAAAACTAAGGAATATCCAGTGATTTTCTCAATTTTAAACCTTGTGTCCAATGCTATGAAAGTCTTCATTTCAAAGTTGATGAAAGCTGTTCCTTTAGAAGAGTATTTTGCTGTTTTTATAGAAGAAAAAACAAACTTCCATGTATTGTAAATGTATAATTTCCTTAAGTTGCACTAAAAAGTCAATTTTTTAATGTTTTTTATAACTTTATATTTTGATATTTTAATATTTAATGTTATTGATGTTTAATTACCATGACTATAGACAATCACCAACCAGCAACTGATGAATGTACAGCCTCAGTACATGTACTCAGGGGCACAGTCTGGTGTGGTTTTAATACAGACTGATGCTGGTGTGGTGCCACAGATATACCCAGCAACGGGCCAGCAACCTGTGTATATAGCCCAGCAGGTAACTATAGATGTAACTTAGGTATTGATTTATAATAAAATCCAAGGACAAGCAAAAAAGTTTGAAATAATGGAAGTTTGAGATGGAGTACTATGAGCATAGAATGATTCAATGTTTTTTTTTTCTCTTTGGTTTGTTTTGTTTTGTTTTGTGAATTCCAAAGTCAGTAATGTTTTGTGTATGAAAAGAAGAATATTTTGTTCATTTGACAGCCTGGAGTGGTTGCACAGCCTGGGTCAGGCTTTCGGCAACCCCCTCGCTGGGCTGTTCCCTTAGGATCCAATCCAGCTGAAGAAATGACTGAGCCCTATTCAGCTGCTGCCCCCCAAGTGCAGAATCAAGCTCAAGTCCAGGTAGTTATGCATGAGTACATAACTGTTTAACATTAACCATTTACAACCTAGTATTGATATGCATATTCTCCATACTGTTCTCTATACATTTTCTAAGATGCTGACAAGGAGAATTTGTTAAACAATGAAGAGCTTCTTTTTTTGGTGATAATGTCTTCATTCTCGAGACCTTTAATGTGTGAATCAGAGCTGATGTTGTAAGGAGAAATTAGATGCTAGTCACTCTTAGGGCGTGTCAAAGGGCTAATCAGATGGTATGTCATGTGATTGTAATATAGAATTGCCTTGACCTCAGTGAGATGAACCTTTTGAATAATTGATCAAACTGTCCCAATAGCATTTCTTAGAATAGATTGCCTCACTTAATTTTTCCTTAGATACCTGAGGCAGTAAAGGATGAAGACATGCCACCACCTTATTCATTTGAATCGACAGCCAATGTGCCACCACCAGCTTTCATTCAATCCTAGTCTGATGTCATTTCATGAATGAGCAGTGACATGTTCATCAGAGGACTTTTGTTAAGTGCAATTGGGGCATACCTTAGAAAGTTTTTGTTTGTGAGTTCTTTTAGTACAGTCAAACCTTAAGCAGCACTGTATCCAGCAGTCACCATAAATTAAGTAGGAAGTGTTCATTAAGTCCCAGGATTTCCCCTGAAACAGTTAAAGATTAGATAGCTCAATCCAAGATTGAGATTCAGTCAGAGTTTATTTAGAGTGAAGTTAATTTCCTCCTGAAACAGTTAAAAATTAGATAGCTCAATCTAAAATTGAGATTCAGTCAGAGTTTATTAAGAGTTAATTAAAATTAATCTTGCATATTGTTCTAGAAAGTTTATCCAATCCAAGTTTGAGATTCAGTCAGAGTTTATTGAGAGTGAAGTGTAATTTCCTCCTGAAACAGTTAAAAATTAGATAGTTCAATCTAAGATTGAGATTCTGTCAGAGTTTATTAAGAGTCAAATTAATCTTGCATATTGTTCTAGAAAGTTTATGTTTGTGAGTTCTTGTAGTATAAAATTAAATACCATAAGGGATGGCGAGTTGCCAAGTCCTCAAAGCGATTGGTAACTGTTGTAAGTATTTGACCATAGTAGTACTAAAGCTTCAGCTGTAAACAGACTGTTTCTTATGGAATGATTATTAGTTTTTTAAAAATTTTAAAAGGCAAGCTCTGTAGCTTCAATGATAATGTAAGTTGTAACCATAACATGTTGGTGCAAAATTAATATATTTCAAAGTATCAAAGGATGTTAAACATGCTCTTTTTTTTATGTAGATGGTTTGAAGTTTTTTTTACCCTTTAACTCTTAGAAGTGATTAATGTATAACTTCTCCTTAAAATATCCATAAATTATCTAGCAAGTAGGTAATGAGATTGCTCGACAACCTTATTAGTAAGAAGTTGTTATCTCTATCTAACACCAATTTCTCATAACCAATGTATAAGGAAAGGTGTAGCAGCAAGGGGGGAGAATTGAAAATAAGATCTTGGGAGTTATAGGGTTAAAGGAGTAAACAAGTTTTTGAACCTTTTCCACAATATATTGGACCATCAGCTCAGAATATTTAACAATCATTCGCCAAAGGCAAAGTGAATATTGTTGAATAATAATTACTAGAGGAAGTTATAATAAGTGTATTATTCATAATTACTAAATAGAAGTGAGGAATTGTTTTAGTATAATTCAATGCTCAGGTGCTTTTTAATTCTATTGTAAAATCATTCTGTTGTTAAAGCCATTCGCTAAATATAAAGAAAACTTGCATATCTTTTCTTACAATTTTTTGACTACATGCATCAAGATAAGCAGCCAGTTTCCTCCAGATCTCAACAGGGAAAAAATTATATTTTAGTTTTGAAAGGTGTTGCACCATACTTGGTAACAGCTTTTTCGAATTGAATTTTCCTCGAAAGGGTTTATCACTTCCTCAGTACAGCTTTGCCAAACGTGGGGCAGCCATTTTGAAATTCAGTGCTCCTGCTTAAATCATCTTGTGCAAGGAGATTATAGCAAGATATGATGCACTCCTCAACCAATCAGCGTGTGCATCTTTGTATTTCAGACATCAGTGATTCATAGCAATTCTAACTGCATCTCCCACTATGATCGTTAAAGAGCCAAACACCATTTATGTGCAGTAGTAATAGGCCCAGAAGTGTTATGGGCTAGTATTTACTAGCTACCAAATTAATGAAAGTTCAAGCAGTGTGATCTCCAAATCACGCCATATGAATTCAGTTTTGCATTTCCGTTGCTGCGTAAATATTACTTGCGTTGGGTATTTTACATTATTATTGTTTTGACGGGGGCAGGAACACCCTCGAATTTGAAATGACGTCATCATTTCTTATTTACATTGGATGTTCGATTTGTCGCCATTTTGATTGCAATCATGGTGTACAGAGCAACTACGTTGCGAGGGTTGGCCATGGCACAGATGGTGTTTGGGGCTTTAATGATTGTTTTTGGAGTAGCATGTATTTTCTCCGCTTATCACTGGAGTTCACACGTTGGTTTTGGCGTTTGGGTTGGCCTTTGGGTAAGTTTTATTTCGTAGCTTGTTTGATCGTGCGTGCGTGCGTAGGTAGACAATTAATGATGTATATGCAGGACTGCCTTTCGATTGTAATAACAAAGCCTGTTCGCAGTTTCTGACTTTTACATTGCTTTTTTTATTTGCCCGTAAATACGCTTTGTCAACCCCCCCTAATTCTCGCCTAATCGATGTTTTCAATTTCTTCTGGCACTCGGAATCGTCGTAAGAGAGACTTCAAATATAATATAGATGAAAATCTCGAGAGACAAGTGGGTAAGCTACCGAAGGAATTTTGGAAGCTATTGCTTTTGGGAAACTGCCCCAGATTCGCTGTATTAGGCATTTTGTTGTACTATTTTTCGATTGAAGTTACATATTTGGTTCTTCCGTGTGGTAATACCTCAATTTGCCAAACGAAACGAAATGAGTTAATGAAATAGTTCATGCTTTTTTTACCACTTTCTTTAAAACTTTTCTGCAATAAAAATCAAATTGGTTTAGACACTGAGCATAAAAACAAAAATTAACTCATTTGAATCAGATCATATTTCGGGAACTTTATGCATCTCTGCTGTAGTAGGTTGAGTACTGTTTAATATAAATTGAATATATATAGCCAGCAAGATACTAAACAATTTTTCATTTGGCTTTTAAAAAATACCGTAAACGTCCATGTATAAGCCGCATCCGTAGATAAGCCGCACCCCCGATTTGGAAGTGCAGAATTGGGAAAAAATAAAAACAATACAGTTTGAAGTTTTAGTAGAGTTGTATTGCTACAAACAATCAAGGTTTCGAAACACCGACATAGAAGTTGTGGCTATCTTTCACATTTATCAAGTCTAAAGAAAGCAAAATTTCATTTTTCGTACCTTCTTTTTCATTGGAATTTACACCATCTTTAACTTAAAATGCTCTTTCGATCCGATTTTTCAAGATTATCACTTCGAAACACGCCATAAAGTTGAAATTCCTTTGGCATTGAAAAAAAAAACCCCAAAAAAATCAAACAAGTGCTTAGTAGCCAAGCTTTAAATGTTGGAAGGAGTCTGGGCCTTTGGACTCAGCTGTTCAGGGATACCATGTGTATAAAGATGTTTGGAAACCCGCAATAGGCAAAAAACTTCATGCAAAGCAGGAGCCTGATAATGCAGTTGACAAATTTGCTATGAAGGTAGTAAAAAACAACGAGAGATTCCTTGTATGTTGGTGTTTAGTTGTTCGAGTAAGCGAAAAGTAATTGCTTGAAAGGACTCTTGGAGATCAAGATTCACCGATAAACACTCCAAGACACAAACGGCTTCAGTTTCTTTTATGTTTATTTCTTGGTATCTTAAGAAGTTTTATGAATATTAATTAGGTTTTTGAGAACTCCAAACACAGATGTATCCATGGATAAGCCGCTCCCTTGATTTTTGGCTTCAATTTTGTGAAAAAAAGTGCAGCTTATACATGGATGTTTACGGTATATATATTTTTTTGTTCCAGTTTGATATGAATCAAATGTTTTTGGCAAGTAAAATAGGATTATTGTTACTTGGACTTGGAGAATATTTATGCTGTTGATGTAACATTATAGGAAGAATTTAATTATTCAAAATATCACTCTGCTTAATTGATGTCAATGTATGCATTGCAGGTGTTTATTACTGGAATTTTGGGATATATTGGAGCAAGAGATAACTCAAACCCAAACAAGTGTTTGGTGAGTTACTGAACCTTTTAAAGAAACAAGTTTTCGTTTTGTCATTTTGTCTTGCCTTTTTCTCAATTCAATCATTCAAAAAAGCTGTAATAGGTAAGCCCCTTTCTGAGAGCCAAGGAATTTTAAATTCTCCTCCTCTTCCACCCCCCCTTCCCCACTCTTACAAATTGAATGTATCAATCCATTTGAAGCTTTAAAATCTCTCCTTCTTCCTCCACCATCCCCCCCCTCCTCTTCCTGCAATCCCCTGGGGCATTTGAAATTTGAGGATTGGCTTGTTAACCCTTTTAACTCCCATGAGTGAGACAAGACAATATTTCTCCTTACAATTTCAATACAATATCAAGCAGACAAGTGACAAGAATAAAGAAAAATATTAGGTAGGGGATTATATGTTGATCCAATACCAAATTCTCCAAACTAAAATTATAAGAACTGTATGGGAGTCAGTAAGGAGAATTACTCATGAGATCTCAGGAGCTAAAGGGTTAAAATCCCAGCTCCCTGGGTGAAATTTGTGTTCAAATTCCCTAGCCAAGGGCCAGATTTGATGGTAAATGTTTTTGTAAGTTTATTTAAGGCTGGGTGCGTATTGTATTTTCCTACTATTTTGTCTACCCTGTTTTGTATAAGAGAATAGGCCCTGATGCAAGTTGGACTCTCATATGAGAGGTTGGGCATTTAATCAAATAAATACAGTAAATAAAGTCATGTGTTTCAATTGTGTGTGTTTTTTTTTCCTTTTTTTTAATCAACAGATTGGATGTTTTATGGGCTTCTCCATTGCAGGTTGTGTCCTCTCAGGAGCAATGTTCATCTGCTATTGCATTACTCTTGCACACTACTCCCAAATGAAGGCATACTGTTCCAACCGTTACTATAATAATGACTACAGCCGTTTCTATAATTACCGTGATTGCTATACAAGGTATAACTTTCGTAGAGATACAGCAGCAAATGTGGCTGGTTTAGGCTCGTGTCTCCTTATTTTCTCCCTGGTTGAGTTCTTCTTGGCACTTGCATCGTCCATCTATTGTTGTACGGCAGTGTGCTGTGGTACCTCACCAGGAGTTGTAAACACTGTAAGTAATATCACCTCGACAGTTTCATTGATATTGTAAAAACTTTATGTGAAATCATCTGTTGGTAATATTGTCTTTTTATCTTGCATGGTGTATTTGTAACTTCCAAAGGTTACCAGTAGATCAGAGTAGATAATCCTAACCCACAGTAAAAATCAAGGTTTGATCCCATAACTCCCAGAAGTTGATTAACAAGTAACTTCTCCCCACAATATCCATGTACTATCCAGCAAACAGGTAATGAGAATACCAAAATGTATCAGGTAGAGGTTGTCATCTTGATCTAACACCAAATTCTCAAAACTTATTCACAAGGAAATGTGTAGCAGCTAGAGGGGAGGATTAGCAATCAGATCTTGGGAGTTATAGATTTTAATTAAACGCAGTTGATAAGCAAAATTATAAATTGGACTGAAGAAAAAATAAGTATGGAGTCATATCAAATTTTTCACAGATGAAAAGGACAAAGTTGGGATTGTAGTTGCAAGGTTATATTGATTGAAGTTTCTGGCTGAATTTGTAATTCAAACCAAAAGGAGATACAGCAGATACTAAACTAAGATAAATATCCTGGAAATGGAACTGAATGCAAGAAATAAACCAATAATACTGACCAAAAAGGGAAATATTGTAAATATAAGAGTTGAAAGACTTCCTTTGGTTTTGCTCTTTATGATAACAGATAATTCAAGAAAAGTAACTGTTGATGGTGATAGCAAAAGTTGATAGCAGTGTCCAAACTAATAGCAAAAGAACAAGAAAAATAAAATCCAATGTCTAATTCATGTGTTTTAAATGAAACTGATTAAAATAAGGAATTTATTAAGTAATAATCATTAACTAACAAAGGATTGATTTAAAAAATTAACCCAGAACAAAAAAAAAAAAAACATAAATGAAAAGAACATGAACTACATGTTTTGCAACCAACACCATTTACATACAAGACTGGACATATTGGGCTTACACAGATATCATCTCTCAGTTAGTACATGCGCTCTGAAATGCTGTCAGTCTTCTTGGATTAGATTTTAAGACACATTTCTTTGACAAGTTTTAAACACACATTTCTTTCTTTTTGTCCATAGTAGCTATATTGTAAACCTGCCTGGATCTATGCATTCTCCAGACCTTATTTCAAGATGAAATGATGTTAGTTTTTCATTTGTTAATGACTTTAATATTAAATTTTTCTGATGTTTATCTATTTTGACTATTAAGACAATGACCAACCAGCAAGTAATGTATGTACAGCCTCAATACATGTACCCAGGGGCACAGCCTGGTGTGGTTTTTATGCAGACAAGTGCTGGATTGGTACCACAGTATGTCCCTCAGCAGGTAACTATAGATGTAACTTATGTATTGGTAAACAATAAATCCAAATCTGGTCAAAAAACTTGCAAGGAAATTTGAGACAAAGTAATGTAAGCATAGAATGACACAATTATGGTCATTTTTTATTTTAAGTTTCTTTGTGAGAAAGCAAAAGATTGTACCATCCAGTGAGGTCATCTCACGGTGTTCACAATTGAAAATTAATTTGATCTAAAGATATCCAAAATTCTTTGAGTGCATGCAGTACTTTATACTTTGGAAAGGTTTAAAAAGGAAAAAAAGTAAATGCACATCATTTCCATACATGAAAAAGATACTTCTACTCTGTCCTTGTTTGATGCATTGTTGTTATGGGGTACTCTTTGAGATATTAGAAATTTGATATTTGAAGATCTAATTGACTCTGTCTCAGATTTAAGGATTCTCTTTTAGAAGATGATACTATGGCACCATAGATTGTGCATGATCGCAGGGTAGTAATTTTTTTCTGTCAAGTTCTAGTGACTCAATCAGTTACTGTAAATTGAGACAAGATGAAACTGCATCATACAAGTTCATTAACATGAGTGGTAAAGTTGTGAACTTGGTGGCAGAACAAAGAATTATAATTATCACCTGTTCATTTGTTAGCTATGAACATACAATCAGCATGATGACACGTTATGTTGGAAATCAGGTTTTTTTTTCTCTACCCTATACATGTTACAAAACAGACAACATCTTTCTTTAGGTACAGTTATGATTTACAGAAATAAAAAATGCCAAATCTCAAACAAGATTACTCTTTTCATTTGACAGCCTGGGGTGGGTGCACAGACTGGAGTGGTTACACAGCCAGGGGTAGGTGTAGGTGCACAGCCTGGAGTGGTTATACAGCCTAAGGTGGGTGCACAGACTGGAGTGGTTACACAGCCAGGGGTAGGTGTAGGTGCACAGCCTGGAGTGGTTATACAGCCTGGGGTGGTTGCACAGCCTGGAGTAGTTGCACAGTCTGGGGCAGCCTTTCAGCAACCCACTTACTGGGCTGTTCCCTCAGGCTCCAACCCACCTGGAGTAGTGACTGTGCCCTATTCAGCTGCTACCCCCCAAGGGGAAAATCAAGCTCAAGTCCAGGTAATTATGCATGAGTACATAACTGTTTAATGTAAACCTTTACACCCTAATATTAGTATGCATATTCTCCATACTGTCCAACATACATTTTTAAAGGTGCCGACAGGGAGAATTTGTTTAACAATGAAAAGCTTCTTTAGTTGGTGATCATGCATGCCCTTTATTCTCTCTTCTCGTGACCTTAGTATGTGATTCAAGGATGATGTTTAAGGGTTTATTAAATTAATAAAGGGGGTAAGTTTTTCAAGAAAATGTGGTGCTACATCAGTAGGAGAGTATAACTAGGTACTTAGGTATTATCGCCTGAGTTGATAACTTAGGTTGGCCACCTTGTAGAGTTTGAGAGCTGACGTTTCGAGCGTTAGCCCGTCGTCAGATCGAATGTTTAAATTGTTTGTGATATGATTGTGCTTAATCTAATTTGGGTCAAATTGCCTTGACTTTAGTTAGGTGAACCTCCTGAATTCATGATCAAACTCCACAATCAGAATTTCTAAAAACAGATGCTCTCGCTAAATATTTCCGTAGATACCTACGGCTCCAAAGGATGAAGACATGCCACCACCCTATTCATTAGCACAGACAGTTAACGTACCACCACTAGCTTTCTCTTCTGCAGCTACCAATCCAAATAATTAGTGCCTGATGTCATTTCATGGACGAGCGGCCACATGTACATCTGGAGACCTTTGTAATAATTGTAATTCAATTGGGGAATACCTTAGAAAGTTTGTGTTTGTGAGTTCATTTAGGACAGTCGAACCTGTATTAAGCAGCAGCGTATCAAGCAGTCACCCTTAATTAAGCAGGCAGTTTTTAAAGTGCTAGGATTTACCCCTGAAACAGTTTGAGATTAGATAGCTCAATCCAAGATTGAGATTCAGTCAGAGTTTACTAAGAGTCAAGTTAATCTCGCTTATTGTTCTCGAAAGTATTTAATGTAGCTTAGATGTTGTATTTACCTATTTTACACATTTTTCAAACAGGCTCTGATTTTAATTTTTCAAAATTAAGAACGTTTACACAATTATCAAAGCGAGTATAATCAAAAAATAGGGAGGCCTTGATTGTGCTCTGTTCTGTTGTAAAGCACGCAGGATGCGGCCAGAGCACGAAAGAAGTGTCGGGAGAAACACGAGACTTAGTCGAGTGTTTCAATACCCTTATAGTGCACGCTTTTTCAACCAATGACAGCGCGCGTTATATGCCAACTTTATTATGATAATATTTAGTGTCGGCAAGTTTTCATTCAAAATTTTTCATTTCGTTATTAAAGGCCCCGGTTATAATTTGTTTTTGATTTCAAAGTGCTTTTAAATGAAATAAATTAGTGACGGCGAGTTGATAGTAGTTGCCGGCAAGGTGAATGCTGTTATATGCAAGTTGGTTTTTAGCGAGTTAATATGTTGGCAAAGTGATCGGTAACTGTTTTTAAGTCTTTTGACCATAGTAATACTTAAGTTATAGCTTTAAATAGACTTTTCTAATTTTGTGAATTATTTTAAATCTGTTCAGTTTTGTAGGGTTGGCCCCATAGTAATAACTTAGTAGCCGTAACATGTAGATGTAAAATTACATATTAAAATAATAAATTTTAAACATGCTGTTTCTTTTTTTTGTTTTTTTGTTTTTTCATGTATATGGGTTTTCCACAATTTTGTGATCTATCAGCTCAGAATAATAATTCTCAGAATAATTATTATGAGAGACTGTAAATTTGGTTCAGAGAATTGAAACAGATCAATGCTCAGAGGTTAAATTACCCCCCCCCCCTCCCCCCGACCTTCCCTTAAAATTCGCGTTAGGAATACTTTCCCAAAATGTTGAAGACTTGAAAATTAAAAAAATGAAGCCGGAAGGCCCTTTTTTGTTTATCATTTAAACAACAACCCTTGCTATGGCAGAAAAACTTATCTTTGTTTATGGAAGGCTTTATTTCTACCTTAAGCTTCAACATCCCTCCCGAGTATTTGAAGCGTTGAAATTTCTTCCATTTCCCCTTCCTACGTGCGGGCTAAAACTGTGTTCAAATGCTCTACCCCACTGCTGGATTCGATGATCAGTTTTTTTTCTAAAGATCAGTGACTGCGACTTTCTGTTCATTCACCGGCAATTGACTTGACTATTCGAGCTTTAAAAACCAAGACCTTGTGGATCCTTTCTTCCTTAATTAACCCTTTAACTGCCAGATCAAATTTGTAATTCTCCTTACTGTCGGTCATACAATTTTTATAATGTTAGCTCAGGGAATTTAGTATTGGATCAACTAATTATCAAAAAATTGATATTTTCCTTTATTCTCATCAGTCATCTGATTGATATTGTAATGATATTGTAGGGGGAAATTCTGTCTTGGTCACTCATGGGAGTTAAAGGGTTCGCTCTGTACTTCACGACAGCTCCATATTAAAATGTAAAATGTTTCGCCCTCCAGGAAGAATCGACACCACCGGATCAAATTTCCCATCCCAACAAGGCAAGGGTTACATTTGCCATCCCCGGGGACTAACTATAGTCAAATTCCCTCGGGTTGCCCGGAAAGGGATTTTGAAGCTTTGAATTTCTCGGCGTCTGATTGAATGTTCGATTTGTCGCCAATTTGATCACAGTCATGGTTTACAGAAAAACTGCTTTGCGTAGGTTGGCTATCGCACAGATGGTGTTTGGGGCTTCGTTATTCGTCTTTGGATTCATAAGTTTTTCTATTGCTCGACACTGGCCTTTGTATGTTCGTTTTGGCCTCCTTGGGGTTGGCGTCTGGGTAAGTTTCGTCTGGCTTGTTCGAATAATAGGGACCTAAGCAAACCAAGACGGCGACGGCAATGAGGACGTGGCAGAACTCTAGGTCTAATGGGCAGAACAATAGCCAGCACCTGCCTTTTAAAACTATGCTCATTTCATAGCCGTCCTCTGCAAAATGACAACGTGGAATCGCAAAAATTTGCGTCGTTTGCAAGCGGAAACCGCGACGGCAAATTATTTTTATTTCCATTTGGAACTCAACGCTGCTTAAATGTGTTATGCTGAAGTTGAGTTGTGGCACTGCAAGAGACGGTTAACTCATGCGACCATTTTCAAACTGAAATTCATTTTTTAATCGACGTCTTTCTTGGCTTTTTTTTTTTTTGGAAAAAGGTCAAGATATTAGGTATTTTGTTGCACGCTCTTTCGACTGGAGGGATATATTTGACTGTTTTGCGATAGGTTTAATATGAACTTACGGTTCACCCGTGCTTAGTCATTTAAGAAGGCACTACTTCCCATAAAATCTAATATCACAGCCCTATAAATTATTATGCATACAGTTCTTGGATAAAGGAAAAAAAGCGAGAACCATAGATTGTATTTTGGACTGGGGATTTGTTTTCCGATTGAATGAGGAGGTGCGGAAGTCTTACCAATCTATTTTGAGAAGCAAATTTGTTTTTAGTGCGGAAATGACCAAATAGAAGGCGTTTGGACCACATCAATTCAAGGATAGGCTCGGCCTTGGCGGTGTGTGCACTTTGATTGCGTTGTATTGTGGTTGTGTTATCTTCAATATTGCGTTGGAAGCGGAATTGACTGAACATTCCGTAAAAGTTAGGCTGTTCCATTTTCCCTTCGCCATAGGTGAATGTAATTTGATTTATTTTGAATGTGTTGACGTATTTTCCGTACACATTTGTCGCATATTTAGTCGCTCTTGAAGGACAAACGGAATCACTATGTCTACGTATGTAATTTGAGATCAATTTTCGAGAAGGTCAAATTTCAAGTTAATTATCCAAAGATTTGGATGGTCGCTTTGATCAAAATCTCTGACCAAACGCTCTCCAACAGTACTCGTGTTTTATGTATTTTAAGTGCTAGCGTTTGAGACCGGTTATGGCAGCGAAAAGGCCTGTTGTTGTCCATAGCTATATAGTGTATATAGTGTATATAGCTATATAGTGTATATAGTGTATATAGTGTATATAGTGTATATAGTGTATATAGTGTATATAGTGTATATAGTGTATATAGTGTATATAGTGTATATAGTGTATATGGTGTATTAGCTAGTGTATTACGTTACATAGCGTTACGTTGTTGTAAGGACATTTCCTATCCGCTATACTCAGTCGTGTTGTAGTAAAAGCAAATTAACTAACCACGATTATTGTGTGGTAAATCTACTATTTTGATCACTGAATGAAGAACTGTTGAGTTAAATCAGAGCAACAGAAGGAATCACTTGACCAATGATTAAGGCTTAATGATTTCCGGCTCAGCCGAAAAGCGAAAAAGGCCAGTTGACCGTTAAAAAGTGTTGACGGGCCTTTGCGACTCCTGTCATTTGCTAGCACTTTTAAATCTTTAAGCCAGGTTCCTTTCGTAACTTGACACTGAGTCACACAAAGCGTGACGCGTTCATGAATTAATCGTTGGCTTTTTCTCGAAACGTGAGCTTGGGCCGCCTGTGATTCTTTAAGCGTGATTTAAAACTCTCTACGTTTTCATTAAACATGGAGCATGAAAAATTTGTCCTGAGGAGGCGTAATACTTCTTCTTTTTACGAATCCTGTATCGATGCCATTAGATGAAGTTTGTGTATTAGAAGGGAGTTTAGAAGGTCTCTGTCTCTTTGTGGTTCATTTACGTGTCAAGAGTCAATTCCCTGTTAAATTAAACTTGCGTCTAGGAATCTAATTCCTGAATTTGATATTATTCACACAGCCATCGGCTGTGACTGTAACTGCATGCTGCCATGTGTAGATTCTTTACTTAGGCAAGACTGCAGTTTATATTTTTCCGAATCTCGTCAGTAATGTGCCTCCCAAGAACAAATTAATCACAGAGGAATGACAAGAGTTGCGCAGGCCCGTCAACACTTTTTAACTTTCGAAGGAATTGTAACAGATAGTGAATCTCCAATACAATTCAAGTAGAATCACGCTATTTTTAACAAAGATGTTTCGAAGGAATTGTAACAGATAGTGATATACTACCAACAATTTTGTTTGATTTTGATATCAATACTGTGACCTCGTTGAGTTAAATGGAAAGTCAAATGTTCAGACTAATCAAATATATAATTTTATTACATTGCTGGCAGCTTCTGACTGGGCATTATGTAGCGAATCCTGTGTTCTGATTGGCTACCCAAGCAGGCAAGACGGGCCCGTCTTGCTTGCTGGGATTGCCTACTTAGATCTAGAGCAAGAAAAACATTACGTGGAGCGTACTTACTAAGTTCATAATTTTTGGACAATTTTGGCAGACAAAAGCGGTAGAAGACTGTCGAAATAAAGAAATCATAACAAGTCTTGTCTGTTTACTGCGCTAAAAACACAGTTGGCTTTCTTTCCTGGCTCTAAAAATTAAAACAAGTCATTCTTGATTCTTAATAAAGCAAATCTTTTAAGATGGCTCGATATTAGCCAATATTTTGTTTGGACTTTGATGGAACTGAACCTGGACCTGGACGTCTCAGTTCATAATATGCAAAAAGGAACTTAGTCAATATCCAGCCATGTTGATCTTACTATCGGCCAATAAAACACATATCTTGCACTATGAATGCTGCTTGTTGTCGAACATTCTATGGTAGCATCAAAAATTACGAGACAGTGAAACAAATCAAACATTTTTTAATCGGTGTTTAAAAAAAACAATGCCCTGCGCAACAATAACAGCAACAAAACATCGGATAAATGTCATCTCCTTCCAAATTTTCAAATAGAACAACGTCGAAAAAATATCGTTAGCTAAGTAGACCACACTAGAGCATAGATAGCAGCAGGAAACGAAAAATCTCCTCATCGATCAAAACTTCCTCATGAAGAATCATTCGCCTCAAGATCACTGTCAGTAAAAATCCCATTGGGGTAGTCTGCCTCGTGATACGCTAATGGGGATGTGCCACTGGATGGGGTCACATTTTTAAGGGGTATTGCCTCGTGATAGGCTAATAGAGATGTGCCACTGGATGGGGGTCAATTTTTATGGGGTACTGCCTTTTGATGGGCTAATTGGGATGTGTTACTGGATGGGGGTCACGTTTTTATAGGGTACGACCTTGTGATAGACCAATGGAGATGTGCCACTGGATGGGGTCACATTTTTATGGGGTACTGCCTTGTGATGGACTAATGGAGATGTGCCACTTAATGGGGTCCCATTTTTATGAGGTACTGCCTTGTGATAGACTAATGGGGATGTGCCACTGGATGAGGTCACATTTTTATGAGGTACTGCCTTGTGATAGGCCAATAGAAATGTGCCACTAGGTAGGGTCACATTTTTATGGAGTACTGCCTCGTGACAGGCCAATGGGGATGTGTCACTGAATGGGATCACATTTTTATGACTAGATTGATTGCAATGGGGTTACATTTCCCAAATAGTTACTTGAATGGGGTCGATCCCACTTTTTTCGGATCTTGGAGGAAGAGAAATTTTGGTCGATCTTTGGCATCATCACATGGCTCTCTAAGGATTACCTAATTAAAAGGTTGATAAACATGATCCAAAGTGATAAATATGGGGTCGCGAAAATCCCGAATTATCTTTTCGAAAGCTCCACCACTTCAGTTGGTGGAGTTTTCTGAGCTTGTTTGAATAGATGTGAATCGTATATTTAAGGCCGGCAAAATATGAAAAATTTATCATTTAGCCTCAAAGAATATTTAATATTTTCTTATTTTATAGTAAGAAAGGAATTATTTGAAAGATCTTTCTGCTTCTTTGTATTGTAGGTTTTTAGCACAGGAATTTTGGGGTACCAAGGAGTAAGAGATTATTTCAACCCAAACAGGTGTTTGGTGAGTTACTGCGCTTTTTAAGGAATTTTTTGTTATTATTTCTCTATCTCTTTCTTCAATACACACTACCTTATTATACGAAAGCACCTCGATTATTGGATTATTAAGCCAAAAATTTAATTGAATGGCTTAAAAGAACATGAATATATTAGACAAGAAGGAAGGTCCATCCTCGAGGATTCATTGTACATAAACTGTTAACCTCTGCTAAAAGTTATCCAACAACGATTTACATGGTCTAAAATTCTGATGTAAATCAGTTTGTTTCGAGCGGCTACAGTGTGTGCCCACCACTAGTTTCATCATTCTTTGAAACTGCATTAGTTTTAGAATTATGTCAGCCTTGTTTCGCCTTTTCAGCTATTTTATACACTTACTCAAACATTCAACAGTTTTTAAAAATGCAACATGTGCTTATGTACTTGTGTGCTTGTTTGATGGAAAAAATGGTATGGATCTTGAATGTTATTTTAATATTAATATTCTTATTATATGGGACTAGAGATTAGCAAGTCTGGATAATAATAATAGTAATACTGATAATAATAATAATAATAATAATAATTATTATTATTACAATTATATTATTATTACAATTATAATAATAGCTGTTACAATTAAAAGATACCAATAATCGAGGCCCAGATTATCTAGGGCTGCCCTTAGTAAAGGGGAGAAGTGGGATGAATTCCCCTTCCCCTGCCCCCATTTACAGCATTTATCTTCGATGTTTCTAGGACATCTTCAAAGACTAACAGTAATTTGATAAATTTGTCAAACATGAAGGAAGAAAGAAAGAAAGGAAAAAAAAAGGAACTACAGAAACGACTAAACTACCAAACTAATAATACACGTCTCCTTCAGGTTTGCAAAATTCACATGATAAATATCATGAATATTTCTGAATTAAACTTTCCAGACCATAATAACTCTCGTGCAAGCCTATTAAATAAACATAAATTAAAGGTAACTGGTAAGGAATAAGTTATCAGATAGAAATTAAACTAATTATTTGAGGGGGAGCGACTGGACAAATTTTTAGGCTAGGATTTTGAAAAAGAGTGTGTGGTTTTTCCTGTTTAACAAGTTGTGTTATTCTTTTTTAGGCTAAGACAATTTTGAGTAAAAAACGGCTGGCATTTTGGTTCTCTATAAGATTTTAATAATCAACCCAACCTCTATAACGAGTCCCTATCTGTAAGCCCTGGAGTTGAGCACCCCTCACCTCTCCCCTTGGGTTTTTTCAAGGAATTGACGGTTCTTACAAATTGAATTAAATGGGGGAACAAGTATGGTGCAGTGGTGAGAGTGCTCGCCCTCATACTGCTATGGGTGGGGTTTGATTCCTGGACCTGCCGTCACATGTGAGTGGAGTTTGTTATTGGTTCTCGTTGTTGTTCCGAGGGGATTTTCTCCCTGAGTATTCCGATTTTCCTCCCTCCACAACACCACAATACCACAACTTGGAAACAGTGGACAGGAAGAGCCACCTCGTGGAATGTCCGCTGCATAACCATAATTATTATTACCATTACCATCATTATTATTAATAAAAAAGATTGGTATGAGACTCACATTTAAAGAGAACACATTTAGTTCATGTACATTTACCAGGAGATGGTCAACTTTGAATTTTAATTGAATTGTGTAATGTGTTTTTATCAACAGATTGGATGTTTTATGGGTTTCTCCATTACATTTTGTGCCTTCTCAGGAGCAATGATCATCTACAATTGCATTACTCTTGCAAGCTACTCCGAAATGAAGAATTTATGTAACCGTTATGAGACTTATTCTAGAGGCGGCTACAATTATTACTCTACCGAGTACGATGATTGCTATTTGAGGCATGGCTTTGATAGAGATACAGCAGAAAAGGTGGCGGGTTTAGGCTCTTTTCTCCTTATTTTATCCTTGGTTGAGTTGTTCTTGGCCCTTGCGTCATCCATCTATTGTTGCAGGGCAGTGTGTTGTAACTCAGCAGCAGTTGAGAACACAGTAAGTAATTGTGAAGATTATATGAAATAATTCATATTTGTACTGCGGTTGTAGATGAAAGTGAAATGTGATCATCGCAGTAAAATTTCCAATTTCCTTCTCTCCAATTGCTTAAATTGGAAAATTTACTGCGATGATCACATTTCACTTTCACAGTAAGTAATTACCAGTTGATAATGTTTAAAGCTATCTTGAAATCATTTGTTGCCAATATAATTTTTATACATATATTGCATCAAATATTTTTGCATACTTACAGGTCGTTTCACAAAAACTGAGAACTATTCAATATTATAACCCATCAATTTTTTTGCCCGCGCGCAATTTTTCTAAATACATCATGTGATCAAATATGCCCTGGCTAAAACTGGGGAGTATCCTGGGATATATAGCCCAACTGATATTCCTCAATTTACAAATCCCTATGATCAATACGATAAAAGCTTTCGCTTAAAATTGAATTCACGTTGAAAGTGCATTTTGCTACTGTTACAGTGAGGATGATATACGCTCGAAGATATACCCTTATGTTTGTCCTTGGACATTATCTGTTCCTTGAAGCTCATCGCGACTCTCTAAGAAGACTCTTCGCATCGAGGAACAGATATATAATGTCCCTGGACAAATATTCGTGCATATTTTAGTGCCCGATGGCAGCCATTGTTAATTTATTGCAATTTTCAAATCTTGTGTCTAGTTTCCCAGTCTAGCTTTATAGAAAATTAGTTCTTAGAAAGTTGCTTGCATCATGGAACAAACATTATATTCACCAGAATAATATCTCTTTAGTGAACACAATCCCACGTATATAGTGGTAATAATGATCATGATGAACAATTTGTATAGGTAAAGACACGCGTAATTTTTTCATGTACATTATTTACACTAGGTTACTGACATTTATAATAATAAGTATATATTATGGACTATTGGAATTTTTAGTTTTGAATGTTAATAGAGTAAACTTCCCTTTAACAGACAAACTATCTTTTCCTGTTCACACTGGCTTTGTTGTAAACCTATACCTAGTAAATGGTTTTGTGCATTCCATTGACTTTATCTGGTGAAATGACAGCTAGCATTTTTGATGAATTTTAGACTTTAAACATTTAATCTATCTGATTTTTAACTATTTTGAATATTAATACATGGACCAACCAGCAAGTGGTGTATGTACAGCCTCAATACATGTACCCTGGGGTACAGCCGGGTGGGGTTTTAATGCAGACTGATGCTGGTGTGGTGCCACAGGGATACCCAGCAACAGGCCAGCAACCTTCGCATGTCCTCCAGCAGGTAACTAGATATAAATAATTATGTACTGATAAAAATTACATGAATCCAAGTTTGGACAAACAAAGTTCTAGGCAGAATACTTTAAACTTGGAATAGTCAAATGTTTTTTCCTGGTTTAGTTTGTTTTTCCGAAAACAAATTAGTGATTATTCCATTGGCATTTTTTTTTCAGATATTATGAATTTTATATTTGAAATTCTAAGAGTGACTTGCAGCTAATTTCTCCCTACAATATAACCCCTGAATCCCAAATTAAGATAAAAATAATAAGGAAAATGGTCAGCAACTAAAGAGGCTCTCGATTGTTAAACAAATTCTCCCTGTCAGGTACCTTAGGAAACATTATGTAAGGACAATATGGACTATATGCATACTCATGTTTTGGTGTAAAGGGATAAAATGCTGGTATGGTGAAACTAAAGCTACTGACAATTATACATTCAGTATGGTAAATTTTTGAGCTTGATGCATAAATAAAGAAAAAGTTGAGTTTGTTAGATATGAACCTATTTATGGCCCAGTTTACCTGAGTGTGCTCTCTGTAACTTAATGGCAGAGGACAAACTCCAAGGTCTAGTGTCTATTTCAATATGGGTAACCCAGAGTTTTTTGCACCATGGATGTGGAAAATTGCAGAAAGTCTTCCCCTATATGCTGTCAAGAATTCTGAAGTCAACAATGTTCTAGGTCTAAAATATTTTATTTTTTATTATTTATTTGACAGCCTGGCGTGGTTGCACAACCTGGAGCGGTTGCTGAACCTGGAGTGGTTGCAAAACCTGGCGTGTTTGCACAGCCTGGGGTGGTTACACAGCCAGGGATGGCTGCACAGCCTGGGGTGGTGACAAAGCCGGCGGTGGTTGGACAGCCAGGAGTGGTGGCACCGCCTTGGGTGGTTGCACAGCCTGGGGTTGTTGCAAAGCCTGGGGTGGTGACACAGCCGGCGGTAGTTGAACAGCCAGGGGTGGTGGCACAGCCCGGGGTTGTCGCACAGCTCGGGGTGGTCCCACAGTCTGGGGTGGTTGCACAGCCTGGGCTGATTGCACAACCTGGGGTGGTTGCACAGCCTGGGGTGGCATTTCAGCAACCCACTTACTGGCCTGTTCCCTCAGGATCCAACGCAGCTGGAGCAGTGACTTTGCCTTATTCTGATGTTCCCCCCCAAGTGCAGAATCAAGCTCTGCAAGTCCAGGTAATCATGCTGGAATACATGAGTGTCAGCCTTTAGCCCTAAGGACTAACCAGAATCTAGTTTCTCTTCACAGTTTCGCTACTTAATCAAACAGAAATGAGAAAAAATGAAATGATGGCCAACTAAAGAGGCTTTTTGTTGTTAATCAGATTCTGTGTGTCAGTACCATAAGAAATGAGTGGAGAACACTACGATTTTTTTTAAATGGGTGTTGTTGTGAAGTGGCCTGTTTGTTCACTTTAGAATTGCCTTGATCTTAGCAAACTCTCCAAACAGAATCTCTGAGAATCGATTGTCTTACTTAATATTTCCGTAGATTCCTGTAGCAGTAACAGACGAGGACATGCCAGCACCATATTCATTTGTGCAGTCAGGGAATGTACCACCACCAGCTTTCTCATCTGAGGATGCCAATCCAAATAGTTAATGTCTGATTTCAGTACATGAATCAGCAGTTACATCTGGAGTATAATTAGGGCATACTTTAGAAGTTTTGAGTTCGTGAGCTCTCGTAGTAGAATGGGAAAGGAATGGGAACCAGGGGAGAAGAGTGAAATTATTTGTGATATAATTGTGCTTAATCTAATTTAGGTCAAATTGCGTTGACCTTAGTTAGGTGAACCTCATGAATTCATGATCAACCTCCAAAATCAGAATTTGTAAAAACAGATGGTCTCGCTAAATATTTCCGTAGATACCTACGGCTCAAAAGGATGAAGACATGCCACCACCCTATTCTCATTAGCACAGACAGCCAATGTACCACCACCAGCTTTCTCTTCTGCAGTTGCCAATCGAAATAATTAGTGCCTGATGTCATTTCATGAACGAGCGGCCACATGTACATCTGGAGACCTTTGTAGTTCAATTGAATATTACCTTAGAAAGTTTGTGTTTGGGAGTTCTTTTATTACAGGCGAACCTGTTTTAAGGGGGCCCTCTGGTTGAAATTTGGTAAAATTGAAAAATTTTTCGCCCAAATTTTTTTTTGGAAAAATATTTACTTGACTCTATCTAGATTTTGAATATGTTGCTTGTTTTTACATAAATTACTTTGCAGAGTCAAAAAGTGGCCTTCTTTGAACGTTGTTTTTCCGTTGCCATGGTAACCAATTCAAAACAAGAGCCTTTTTCCCGAATTATTTTTGAGGCGTTAACGCTGTTCCACGGTCCTGAGTTTGGAAACAGACCGTAGTTCATTCCAGATTCCTAGAAGTTACTTTTGAGGCCTGGTTACTGAGTTACAAGGAGCTCTAACGAATTTTGTCCAAGTCACTTTCGTTGATCTATGCGTAGCATTTCACAGTTTATTGATTCAGTTTATAAAGGGTTAAATTATGCCGAAGCTAGGGAAAAAGCAGTCTGTTTTAAAGCAGGGAATTTCAAGAAAGCGTAAAGGGTTCAAAGGAGTTCAAAAACAAGCGAAAAGAGCGGCAAGCGCAACGAGCGAACGAAGGGTAAATATCACGTTCGTCGGTGAAGATGACGTGGTAAGCAAAATGATTCCACCGCCTGCAATCCCGGTTTCTGCGCGAAAAATCGGCGCTTGTGCTAATGATACGTCTCTGTGGGATGAAAGTATTCCAGATGATCTGGAAATTGCTGAAGGATATCGCCTGGTATCAATGGAAAGTCTAAGGAAGTTTGTAAACAGAGTACATACACATGGACCATGTGCCTCAGGTGAGCCTGTTGAAATTTTTGCACAGTGTCACTTATTATGCCGGAAAATTTGAAACCAAGTCCATGATCCACTAATTTATCTGGATTTAAACTAGAAAATTAATAGATCGTTTCCTCTAATTTCTCATTTAGGTAAAGTTGAAGTGTTAGAGAGCACTGTAAACAGAATGGGAATAAGCAATTCAGTCTTTGTCAAGTGTGACTGTGGCATGACAGAGTTCCTTGCTACTGGTGATCACCCCTCCAATGATACCACTCCAAGGACAATTCAAGGTAAAGATCTGAACCGACGAATAGTGTATGGCACATTTGAGATGGGAGTTGGAAAAGAGGGAATTGCCAAGCTGTGTGAAATGCTTAATATGCCATTCAGTATTTCGCTCTCAACTTGGTATGAGCACGAAGAGGCACTACTCAAGGCCCACGAGGAGATATTAGAGGAGCAACTAGCCAAAAACAGGGCTGAGGCAAGAATGCAGGCTATACAAGAAGAATGCATCACTGATGCTAATGATCAAATGATAATTAGTATCCCTGTAAGTTTTGATGGCTCCTGGTCAAAACGAGGTTATACTGCCAATCACTGTGTTGGATTTGTTATTTCTGCTGCAACCGGCAAAGTGTTGGACCTTGAAGTTATCTCAAAAACCTGTAGTGTGTGCTCACAAAAGAAGTCAAGTCTGACTGAAGACCAGTTTGAACAGTGGCGCCAGACTCATCATTGTGAAGGCTCTTATAAAGGCTCCAGCTCAAGTATGGAGATGGAATGTGCCAAAAGGATATGGGGAAGAAGTGAGCAGGGCTTTATCAGGTACACATGGATGATTTCTGATGGGGACTCAAAAGCATATAATTCTATATGGAGCATTTATGGTGCCTGTGACACTTGTCACCATTATGAAAATCTACAAAACAATGATCAAGAGTACATTACCTGGAAAGCTTCAGAAGATTTTAAGAAGTGGGAAGAGGATCACCTGGCTGGAACTGCAGGCTGTGACCGGGTCATGAAATTAGACTGCATTGGACACGTTCAAAAGCGACTTGGAAAAGCACTGTATGAATTTCAAAAATCCTCAGTGAAATTGAGTGATGGAAAACCAATGCATGGAAGAAATGGAAGACTGACAAAGGCTGCTATAGAAAAACTGAAAAAGAATTATGGCAAGGCAATTCGTGACAATGTAAAAAGAGAAATTACAACCACTGAAGAGAGGGACCAAGCTGTGCAGACTATGAAAACTGAGATTCTGGCTGGATTGTTCCACTGCTTGAAGCTACCCAATAAAGAAAGGCACCAGTTTTGTCCACCAAATTCATGGTGTAAATACAAGAAAGGGCTCCCTTGCCCTAACAAGCCACACCATCTTGACAAGGTGTTTGAGGAACATCTTTGCAAGATTTATGACAGGCTCACAGATTCTGCCCTTCTTGCAAGGTGCTTGCCTGGCTATACCCAGAATGCTAATGAGTCCATCAACTCCCTGGTATGGAACAAATGTCCCAAACACAAGTGGCATGGCAGAAGGAGAGTGCAGCTGGCTGCTTTGTCAGCTGCCTTACATTTCAGTGGTGGTGCCTCTGCGAAACATGCTATCATGGAGAAGGTTGGGCTCACTGTGAGTGATACTGCCAAAATGGAAGCTAGGAGAAGGGATTCAGAGAGAATTAAACAAGCAGAGAAAAGAATGCAAGATCAGTACAAGAAATACAGAGTTGCCAGGAGACAGGCTAAACAGCATAATGAAGATCTAAGGATTCGTGACGAGGGTGTAACTTATGCAGCTGGAGCTTTTGGAGAAATAGAACCTTGTAATGGACCCAAAAAGAGGAAAACTACTCAGAAGACCAAAAAATAACTTTAGGGATATTTCTTTTAAAGCAGTTCTACCAACACACTGTGTTTTTATTGTAAAAGCTAACTTGAACCCATGTTTCCATAACATTTCCTTTTAAATCACATTTCCTGCAAATATGGGTTTTTCATGATTATTTGGGTGCCCCCTTAAATTTCTCAGGATGTATTTGTGCTAACAGCTCCGAATTTGCCACAAATATTTGAGACATAACATACTACAAACCTATTGAGCAAAATTCAGTTTGACTGAAAAGTGTTGAAGTTTTGAGGAGTTAATCTTTTCAGGTGAACCTGTTTTAAGCAGCTCCGTATCAAGCAGTCACCCTTAATTAAGCAGGCAGTTTTCAAAGTCCCAGGATTTCCAGAAACAGTTTGAGATTAGATAGCTCAATCCAAGATTGAGATTCAGTCAGAGTTTACTTAGAGTCAAGTTAACCTCGCTTATTGTTCTCGAAAGTATTTATTATAGCTTAGATGTTGTATTTACCTATTTTACACATTTTTCAAACAGGCTCTGATTTTACTTTTTCAAAAAGAACATTTACACAATTATCAAAGCGAGTATAATTAAAAAATAGAGAGGCCTTGTTTGTGCTCTGCGCAGGATGCGACCAGAGAACGAAAGAAGTGTTGTGAGAAACACGAGACTTAGTCGAGTGTTTTAATACTCTTATAGAGCACGCTTATTCAACCAATGACAGCGCGCGTTATATCTGAACTTTACTTAGTCGAGTGTTTTAATACTCTTATAGAGCACGCTTATTCAACCAATGACAGCGCGCGTTATATCTGAACTTTACTTAGTCGAGTGTTTTAATACTCTTATAGAGCACGCTTATTCAACCAATGACAGCGCGCGTTATATCTGAACTTTATTATGATAATATTTAGTGCCAGCAAGTTTTCATTCAAAACTTTTCATTTCGTTATTAAAGGCCCCAGGTATAATTTGTTTTTGTTTTCAAAGTGCTTTTAAATGAAATAAATTAGTGACGGCGAGTTGATAGTAGTTGCCGGCAAGGTGAATGCTGTTATATGCAAGTTGGTTTTTATCGAGTCAATATGTCGGCAAAGTGATCGGTAACTGTTTTTAAGTATTTTGACCATGGTAATACTTAAGTTATAGCTTTAAATAGACTTTTCTAATTTTGTGAATTATTTTAAATTTGTTCAGTTTTGTAGGGTTGGCCCCATAGTAATAACTTAGTAGCCGTAACATGTAGATGTAAAATTACATATTAAAACAATAAATATTAAACATGCTGTTTCTTTTTTTTTGTTTGCTCGCCAAAGTGAATTAACCCTTTAACTCCCGGATCAAATTTGTAATTCTCCTTACTGTCGACCATACAATTCATATAGTGTTAGTTCAGAGAATTTAGTATTGGATCAACTAATTATCAATAAATTGATGTTTAACTTTATTCTCATTGCTCATCTGACTGATATTGTGATGGTATTGTAAAGAGAAATTCTGTCTTGATCACTCGTGGCAGTTAAAAGGTTAAACCACGTTAAAATGTAAAACGTTTATCCCGCTGGGAAGAATCAACACCGCCGGATCAAATTCCCCATCCCACTCAGGCAAGGGTTACATTTGCCATCCCTGGGCACTGACTACAGTCAAATGCCCTCAGGTTGCCCGAAAAGGGATTTTGAAGCTTTGAATTTCTCGGCGTATGATTGAATGTTTGATTTGTCGCCAATTTGGTTACAGTCATGGTGTATAGAGCAACTATTTTGCGAAGGTTGGCCATCACACAGATGGTGTTTGGGGCTGTGATGTTCGTATTTGGAATAACAAGTATTTTCGTTGCTGAACACTGGACTTCGTACATTGCTTTTGGCGTCTGGGTTGGCGTTTGGGTAAGTTTCGACCAGCTTGGTCGAATAATAGAGACCTTAAGCAAACCGAGACGGTAACGACAATGAGGACGTGGCAGAACAAAAGATCTAATGGGCAGAACAATAGCCAGCACATGCCTTTTAAAACTATGCTCATTTCATAGCCGTGCTCCGCAAAATGACAACGTGGAATCACAAAAATTTGCGTCGTCTGCAAGCGGAAACCGCGACGGCAAATTAATTTATTTCCATTTGGAACTCAAAGCTGCTTAAATACGTTATGCTGAAGTGCATTTTTTAATCGACGTCCTTCCTTGGCGTTTCTGTCCTGACGCGCGACGTGGCTTTCATGATAGGGTATGTATATTTTTTTTTTGGCAAAAGATCAAGATAATAGGTATTTTGTTGCACGCTCTTTCGACTGGAGTTATATATTTGACCGTTTTGTAGCAGGTTCAATATGAACTTACGGTTTCACAAGCGCTTGATGATTTAAGATGGCACTACTTTCCATAAAATCTAATATCACAGCCCCATAAATTAATATGCAAACAGTTCTAGGATAAAAAAAATAATGGCGGGAAGTATAGATTGTATTTTGAACTGGGGATTTGTTTTCCAATTGAATGAGGCGGTGCAGAAGTCTTACCAATCTATTATTAATGAGAAGCAAATTGGTTTTAGTGCAGAAATGACCAAATAGAAGGCGTTTAAAATAAATCAATGAAAGGATAGGTGTGTGGACTCTGATTACGTTGCATTGTGGTTGCGTTATTTTCAATATTGCCGTGCAAGCGGAATTGACTGAACATTCCGTAAAAGTTAGGCTGTTCCTTTTCCCTTCGCCATAGGTGAATGAAATTTGACTTATTTTGAATGTGTTGAAGTATTTTCCAATCGCATTTGTCGCATATTTAGTCGCTCCATTTAGTCGGACAAACGGAATCACTATGTTTAAGTATGGAGGGGGGCAATGGGATTTTCGGTTTTGTGGTTTTGGCTATTTTTTAGATCGGTTTTCCATTTTTGTGCCAAAAGACTTGGGCTTTTCGGTTTTGGTGTTCATTACGGTTTGCAGATTTTCCGTTTTTTAGCATTTGGTTTTCGGTTTTCGGTTTTCGCGAAAAATACTAACGGGTTTTAGGATTTGATATCAGATGCGGTTTTCGGTTTTTCCAATTAGACCTATTTGAGTTCCGGTTTCTCTTCGATCTGAGCGGCAATTACGCTACAATTACAATTGAAATATCGCAGGGATCCCTAGGTAGCCTACACGTTGCTGTGCTCTTCCCCTCCCCTAAGGTGGGGGGGAGGGGAGGGTGCGGCTACAGGTAGGGTACGGCTAAGCACGGATCATCGCCAGAGTTTCTTTATCAACGCCACCTCGAAGTTGAAGACAAAGTTACAGGCCACACGTGACTGATTGATTAAACATTCCAATAGAATCTCCAAACTTTCAGGTCTTAGTTCGCAAATAGAAATGTTAGATTAAGGATATTCGATGAAACTTTCCAGAGCTCTAGCTTTTTGCGACTGCAAAATTGTAATTCCATCGAGGACTTTTGTGCGAATTTCCTGAATTTAATTAGGCTCTATTACCAGCTGCTGAGTCCGCAGAGACCACGCTCGAGGTCCTCGAGAGTGCAGCTGCTAATTTAAGCAGATACTAGAAGATACGAGTGCTAGGTTCATGGTATTCATAAATCCTGTCATGAAATTAGTATAGTTTACTCTGTATGTTCCATTTGTCACCAATGTATCGGATCGATTAGGGTTTTAATAACTGGGATGTGAAAATGTATCGATTTTGACAGTTTTGCATGCGGTTTTCGGTTTTGATCAAATTTTTTTTTCGGTTTTTCGGTTTTGGATGATTTTATCTACGGTTTTGCGGTTTCTAATGGGCCTTAATGCCCCCTCAGTATGTAATTTCAGACCAATTTTCGAGAAGGTCAAATTTGATGTACGTCGTTGTCTGATCAAGTCTTTATTTATCCAAAGATTTGGATGGTCGCTTTGATCAAAGCTCTGATCAAACGCTCTCCCACGGTACTCTTGTTTTATGTATTTTAAGTGCCTGTGTTTGAGATCGGTTACAGCAGCGAAAAGGCCTATTACTGTGTATAGCTAGAGTGTCTTGCGTGACATAGCATAATGTTATTGTAACGAAATTTCGTATCCACTATACTCAGTCGTGTTGTAAATCTACTTTCTGTAGTAAAAGAAAATTAACTAACCGCGATTATTTTATGGTAAATCTACTATTTTGATTGTTGAATGAAGAACTGTTGAGTTAAATCAGAGCAATAAAAGGAGTCACTTAACCAATGATTAGGGCTCAATGATTTCCGGCTCAGCCGGAAAGCGAAAAAAGGCAGTTGACCGTTAAAAAGTGTTGACGGGCCTTTGCGACTCCTGTCATTTGCTAGCCCTTTTAAATCTTCTGCCTTCAAAGTTAAGCTCTCACTAGGATATCTAGTAACTCCCGAGATATGTGTCTCAAAACTGTCATCTGGGTATCCTCTATTCTTTAAGCATAATTTAAAATTCTATACGTTTTCATTAAACAAGAGCGTGAAACATTTGTCCTTAGCAGGCGTATCACTGCTTCCTTTTACGAATCCTGTATGGATGCCATGTAGATGGAGTTTGTGTATTAGAAGGTCTCTGTCTCTTTGTAGTGCATTTATGTGTCAAGAGTCAATTCCCTGTTAAATTACCTGCGTCTAGGAATCTAATTTCTGAATTTGATGTTATTCACATAGCCATCGGCTGTGACTGTAACTGCATTCTGCCATTTCTGTAGATTCTTTACTTAGGCAAGACTGCAATTTAGATTTTTTCCGAATCTCGTCAGTAATGTGCCTCCCAAAAACAAATTAATCACAGAGGAATGACAAGAGTTTTGCAGGCCTGTTAACACTTTTTAACTTTCGAAGGAATTGTAACAGACAGTGAATCCCCTTTACAATTCAGGTATAATCACGCTATTTTAGTTATCATCAAAGATGTTCACTCCACGGCAACAGGTTGCAAATGAGTTACTTTTTCTTGTACGACCATAATGCAACACAATGAGAAAGAGTACATCGCCTGGGATGGGTGGATCCGGTTTAAACGAATCAATCTGATACCAAGTACAGTACCAACACTTTAGTTTGATTTTGATATCAATACTGTGACCCCACCGAGTTAAATGGAAAGTTACGTGATAAGATTAATCTAATATAGAATTTTATTACATTGTTGGCAGCTTCTGACTGGGCACTATGTAGCGAATCCTGTGTTCTGCTTGGCTACCCAAGCAGGCAAAACGGGCTCATTTGCTTGCTGGGATTGCCTACTTAGATCTAGAGCAAGAAAATGATTGCGTGGAGCGTACTTACAAAGTTCATAATTTTTGGACAATTTTGGCAGACAAAAGCGGTAGACGACTGTCAAAGTAAAGAAATCATAACAAGTCTTGTCGGTTTACTGTACTACAAACACAGTTGGCTTTCTTTCCTGGCCCTCAAAATTAAAACATGTTATTCTTGATTCCTTGTAAAGCAAATCTTTTTGCTCTATATAAATCCTTTATTGACTATGCAAGCTTGCTCTGTTAAGATGGCTTGATATTAACCGATATTTTGTTTGGACTTTGATGGACCTGGACTTCGTCTCAGTTCATAATATGCAAAAAAGGAACTTAGCCAATATTCAGCCATGTTGACCTCACTATATGGCCAGTAACATATATATCTTGCACTATTAATGTGACTCTTTGGCCAATATTCTATAGTTACTGTAGCATCAAAAATTGCAAGACAGTCAAACAAATCAAACATTTTTCAAATAATGTTTCTAAAAAAGCCGAAACATCGAATATAAATGCCCTGCGCAATAACACAACAGAGAATACACCCAATATATGATATATAGGTCACTGTCAGTAAAAATCCCATTGGGGTAGTCAGCATTGTAATAGGCTAATTGGGATGTGCCACTGGATGGGGTCACATTTTTATGGGGTACTGCCTCGTGAGAGACCAATGGAGATGTGCCACTCACTGAATGGGATCACATTTTTATGACTGGATTGATTGCAATGGGGTTACATTTCCCAATTAGTTACTTAGGTTTATAAACATGATCAAAGTGACAAATATGGGGTCGCGAAAAATTATATTTTCGAAACCTCCACCACTTCAGTTGGTGGAGTTTTCTGAGCTTGTTTGAATAGATGTGAATCGTATATTTAAGGCCAGCAAAATGTGAAAAATTCTATCATTGAGACTGAAAAGAATACTTAATATGTTATTATTTCATAGTAAGAAAGGAGTTATTTGAGAGATCTTTCTGCTTGTTTGTATTGTAGGTTTTCATCACAGGAATTTTGGGATACATCGGAGTAAGAGATGATTCAAGGCCAAACAAGTGTTTGGTGAGTAACTGGACTTTTTAAGGAATTTTTTTATTGTTATTTCTGTATCTTTTTCTTCAATACACACCAGCTTATCATATAAAAGCACCCCGATTATTTGATTATTGAACCAAAAGTTTAATTGAATGGCTTAAAAGAACATCAATACATTAGGCAAGAGGGAAGGTACATCCTCGAACTGTTACCCTCTGCTAAAAGTTATCCAACATTGATTTACATGGTCTAAAATGTTGATGTAGATCAGTTTGTTTCAAGTAGCTACAGTGTGCCCACCACTTGTTCCATCATTCTTTGAAACTGCATTAGTTTTAGAATTATGTCAACCTCGTTTTGCCTTTTCAGCCATGTTATACACTTACTCAAACATTCAACAGTTTTTAAAACTGCATCATGTGCTAATGTACTTGTGTGCTTTGTCTGATGGAAAAAATGGTATGGATCTTGAAAGTTATTTTAATATTAATATTCTTGTTAAATGAGACCAGAGATTAGCAAATCTGGATAATAATGATAGTAATACTACAACTTATAATGATAATTATGATAATTATAATAATAGCTGTTACAGTTAAAAGATACCAATAATCGAGGCCCAGATTATCTATGGCTACCCTTAGTATGGTGGAGAAGTGGGATGAACTCCCCTTCCCCTGCCCCCATTTACAGCATTTATCTTCGATGTTTCTAAGACATCTTCAAAGACTAACAGTAATTTGATGAATTTGTCAAACATGAAGGTAGAAAGAAAGAAAGGAAAAAAAAGCAACAACAGAAACGACTAAATTAGCAAACTAATAATATACGTTTTCTCTAGGTTTGCAAAATTCACAAGATAAATATCCAGAATATTTCTGAATTAAACTTCCCAGCCCATAATAACTCTCGTGCAAGCCTATTAAATAAACATAAAATTAAGGTAACTGTTTAAGGAATAAGTTATCAGATTGAAATTAATTTGAGGGGGGAACGACTGGACAAATTTTTAGACTAAGATTTTGAAAAAGAGTACGTGGTTTTCCTGTTTAACAAGATATGTTATTCTTTTTTAAGCTAACAGGCAATTTTGAGTAAAAAATGGCAGGCATTTTGGCTCTCTATAAGATTTTAATAATTAACCCAACCTCTATAACAAGTCCCTATCTGAAGGCCCTGGAGTTGAGCACCCCTCACCTCTCCCCTTAGGTTTTTTCAAGGAATTGACAGTTCTTACAGATTGAATTAAATGGGGGAACAAGTATGGTGCAGTGGTGAGAGTGCTCGCCCTCATACTGCTATGGGTGGGGTTTGATTCCTGGACCTGCTGTCACATGTGGGTGGAGTTTGTTAATGGTTCTCATTGTTGTTCCGAGGGTTTTTTTCCCTGAGTCTTCCGATTTCCCTCCCTCCACAAAACCACAACCTGGAGATAGTGGACAGGAAGAGCCACCTCGTGGAATGTCCGCTGCATAATTATTATTATTTTTATTATAATTATTGTTAATAAAAAAAGATTGGTGTAAGATTTAACACATTTCGTTCATGTACATTTACTAGGAGATGGTCGACTTTGAATTCTAATTGAATTGTGTGATGTGTTTTTATCAACAGATTGGATGTTTTATGGGTTTCTCCATTACAGGTTGTGTCTTCTCAGGAGGAATGTTCGTCTGTTACTGCATTACTCTTGCAAGTTACTCCGAAATGAAGAATTTTTGTAGCCGTTATTATAGAGGCGACTACAAGTATTACTCTTATTACGATTGCTCTCGGAGGTATGACTTTCGTAGATCTACAGCAGAAAATGTGGCAGGTTTAGGTTCTTGTCTCCTCATTTTCTCTTTGGTTGAGTTGTTCTTGGCCCTTGCGTCATCCATCTATTGTTGCAGGGCAGTGTGTTGTAAATCACCAGCAGCTGGGAACACAGTAAGTAATTACCACCAACAGTTCAGTTGCTAACGTTAAAAGTTTTCTTAACATTATTTGTTGTTAATACTTTTTTTTATTTATGTTGCATCAAATATTTTTGCATACTTACGGTTGGTTTTTTGTGGGGCTAAAACTGAGAACTATTCAGTTCAGTGTTATAATCCATCAATTTTTTTTTGCCTACACGCAATTGTTATAAATACATCATGTGATCAAATGTGCCCTGGCTAAAACTGGGGAATATCCTAGAATATATAACCCAACTGATACTCCTCAATTTACAAATCCTTATGGTCAATACGATAAAAGCCATCGTCTAGAATTTAATTCACGTTGAAAGTGCATTTTTGTTACAGTGAGGATGATATATGCTCGAAGATATACCCTTATATTTGTCCTTGGGCATTATCTCTTCCTTGAAGCTCATCGCGACCCTCTCAGAGGACTCTTGGTATCGAGGAACAGATATATAATGTCCCTGGACAAATATTCGTGCATATGTTAGTGTCCGATGCCAGCTATTGTTAATTTATTGCAATTTATAAATCTTGTGTCCAGTTGCCCAGTCTAGCGTTATAGAAAATTAGTTCTTAGAAAATTGTTTGCATCATGGAACAAACATTATGTTCACCGGACAAATATCTCTTTAGTGAACACAATGCCACGTATATAGTGGTAATAATGATCATGATGAACAATTTGTATAGGTAATAACATGATTTTGAATGCAATTTGGTGTTAATAAGCACACGTAGAATTTTCATAAACAACTAAGTTGGACAAGCCTGTAGGGCAATTGGTGCAAGTTGTATTCTTTGAAAAATTGCAAGAAAAATAATGTTATTACTTGTTCATAATGTACATGAGAGAAACATCAAAGAGACTGGAGACAGACATATATTTACTGGCAGCACAATTGCCCTAATTGTTATTTGCACTTGTGTTACAACTTTGCACTTGTGTTACACCAGAATGCACCTGTTTTCGGCCAATCAGATACTCGTAATGTAAATTATTAATACTGGGTTATTGAAAATTAATAATAATTAGTATATATTACGGACTATTGGAATTTTTAGTTATGAATGTTAATACAGTCAACTCCCCTTTAACAGACACTATTTTTTCCTGTCCACAGTGGCTTTGTTGTAAACCTATAGCTAATAAATGGTTTTGTGCATTCCATTGACTTTATCTGGTGAAATGACAGCTAGCATTATTAATCAATTTTAGACTGTAAACATTTAATTTATCTGATTTTTAACTATTTTGACTATTAAGACATGGACCAACCAGCAAGTGGTGTATGTACAGCCTCAATACATGTACCCTGGGGTACAGCCGGGTGGGGTTTTTATGCAGACCGATGCTGGTGGGTACCCAGCAACAGGCCAGCAACCTTTGTATTTCCTCCAGCAGGTAACTAGATATAAATAATTATATACTGATACAAATTACATGAATCCAAGTTTGAAAAAACAAGGTTCTAGGCAGAGTACTTTAAACTCGGAATAGTCAAATGTTTTTTTCTTGTTTAATTTTTTTTTTTCAGAAAACAAATTAATCATTATTCCATGCAGTGTTTACTATCGAAATTCAGTTTGGTCTAAAATTATCCATAAATACATTGATTGTAAGACTGTATACTTTGGAAAGGTTTAAAAGAGGAATGAATACTGTAATTTAGACGCATAACACATAGTTACTTATTCTTTCTCTTGGTCTGTCTTAGTATTGTTCTTACTATCGTGTTTTTTTGGGCATTTCAGATGTTAGGAATTTGATATTTGAAATTCTAAGAGTGACTTGCATCTAATTTCTCCCAACAATATAACCCCTGGATCAAACATTAAGGTAAAAAGAATAAAGGAAATGATCACCAACTAAAGAAGAAGCTCTCGATTGTTAAACAAATTCTCCCCGGGAAACATTATGTAAGGACAATATGGACTATATGCATACTCATGTTATGGTGAAAAGGGATAAAATGCTTGCATGGTGAAACTAACGCTACTGACAATTATACATTCAGTATGGTGAATTTTTTAGCTTGATGCATAAATAAAGAAAAATTTGAGTTTGTTAGATATGAAGCTATTACTGGCCCAATTCGCCTGAGTGAGCTCTTTGTAACTTAATGGCAGAGGACAAAGTCCAAAGGTCTAGTGTCTATTTCAACATGGGTGACTCAGAGTTTTTTGCCACATGTGTATGAAAACTTGTAGAAAGTCTTCCCCTAGATGCTATCAATGTTCTAGGTCTAAAATATTTCAACATTATTCATTTGACAGCCTGGAGTGGTTGCACAGCCTGGAGTAGTCGCACAGCCTGATGCGGTTGCACAACCTGGAGTGGTTGCACAGCCTAGAGTGTTTGCACAGCCTGGGGTGGTTGCACAACCAGGAGTGGTTGCACAGCCTGGGGTGGTGGCACAGCCAAGGCTGGTGGTACAGCCGGGGGTGGTGGCTCAGCAGGGGATGGTAGGACAGCCAGGAGTGGTGGCACAGCCTGGGGTGGTTGCACAGCCTGGGGCGGTTGCACAGCCAGGTGTGGTTGTACAGCCTGGGGTGGTTGCACAACCAGGGGGAGTAGTGGCACAGCCGGGGCTATTGGCACAACCAGGGGTGGTGGCACAGCCAGGGGTGGTGGCACAGCCAGGGGTGGTGGCACAGCCAGGGGTGGTTACACAGCCCGGAGTGGTTGCACAGCCTGGGGTGGTTACACCGCCTGGGGTGGTTGCACAGCCTGGGGTGGTCGCACAGTCTGGGGTGGTTGCACAGCCCAGGGTGGTGTCACAACCTGGGGGGATTGCACAACCTGGGGTGGTTGCACAGCCTGGGGTGGCATTTCAGCAACCCACTTACTGGCCTGTTCCCTCAGGATCCAACGCAGCTGGAGCAGTGACTTTACCCTATTCAGATGTTCCCCCCCAAGTGCAGTATCAAGCACTGCAAGTCCAGGTAATTATGCTGGAATACGTTAATTTAACCCTTCAGCCCTAAGGACTAACCAGAATCTAGTTTCTCTTCACAGTTTGGCTCCTTGATCAAACAGAAATGAGAAAAAGTGAAATGATGGTCAACTAAAGAGGCTCTTTATTGTTAAACAGATTCTGTGTGTCAGTACCATAAGAAATTTGTGGAGAACACTACGATGTTTTTTTAAATGAGTGTTGTTGTGAAGGGGCCTGTTTGTTCACTTTAGAATTGCCTTGATCTTAGCAAACTCTCCAAACAGAATCTCTGAGAATCGATTGTCTTACTTGATATTTCCGTAGATTCCTGTAGCAGTAACAGACGAGGACATGCCAGCACCATATTCATTTCAACAGTCAGGCAATGTACCACCACCAGCTTTCTCATCTGAGGATGCCAATCCAAATGGTTAATGTCTGATTTCAGTACATGAATCAGCAGTTACATCTAGAGTATTATTAGGGCATGCTTTAGAAGTTTTGAGTTCGTGAGCTCTCGTAGTAGAATGGGAAAGGAATGGGAACCAAGGGAGAGGAGAGGTTGGAGAGGACAATAGGATAAGGGAGGAGAGGGTGAAAAGTGCGAGCTGAATGAGGGTTGGAAGAGGGGGGGGAGTGGAAATGTGAAAATGTGAATTATCCTCCATAAAAAAATGGGAGATACATGTAAGAGTCAAAGATATTGAGGCCCGATTAGAGAGGGAGGAAGAGCCAAAGATGCTGAGGTCTGTGAGAAGCAAGACATTCTTTCCCCCACTCCTCCCGACCCTCCTCCACTCCTCCCCACCCTCCTCCACTCCTTCCCACCCTTCCCATTCCCAATCTCTTTCCTAATTAAGGTAAAGCTGCGCCTCCAGGATGTGTATGTGTATATACTAAGCTGAATTACAGCTGCATTTTGATTAGCTCATTTTTATAAACTTTTGGACGTGACCATTGACAACTTTTTTCTTCTTTATTATTAACAATAAATACGGGTAGAGAGATGACGTCACAAGTGGTAATAACATCAATGACACACTAGGCTGCGCCTCATTTGCCACTTTTTGGATCTTACCACATTATGACGTCATCTGCAATCTCTTACTGAACAGAGATATGACAGCTTGCAATCTCTTTATTAATTTGTAGGGGTATATTTCAGCTTTGATGTTCGTGAAGATAGAGGTAGTAATAATGTGCCAGATTTGCCTTTTATCAGGAAATGATGATTTAGATGTAGCGCTGTATTGTTTAAACTGAAGTGTGAATGAGGCTTTTGATCCATCCTGCTTCTCAGGACTACCCTCACTTAGACGATTAGACTACACGATCAAACCTACATCTTCAAATGGCTTTTTAAAGTGGAGTACACGAACTATTTTGCTGAGGGCTACTTCACTAGATTGTTATTGACCTCGAGGAAGAGAATCTCAAGACTTGTAAAAAACAAATCGAGCTCCCGCTTTTTGGTCGACTGATGTTGTTAATCACTCAGCGTATGATTACAGACCGAATTAAACCCCTCTTAGTCCTATTATCATTACTAGGCACGCCTAGAGTTTTTGCACAAGAAGATGTTATAACGTTAGTCTAAATAACACTTTCAAGATGCCTAAATTGATCCGTATCGTAATGAAAATATCATTACAGTTTAGAATTGTCGTTTTGCATTAGTGGACGCGAATATTTGTAGTAGCCCGATATGCACCTGAAATAAAACAAAGTTCTCTAATAAACAAAAACGTTATAAAACAGGTTTAATTTGCTACGGCAACGAATGGTTTTATGACACACAGGCAAACCTATAATGGTGTTCACAGGATTTGGAAACCCAAGCCCAGATAAAGTACAAAAATCAACCGCATATTGCTTACTCTTGCTTTGAGCCAGTGTGAGTTTTCCTACCTCTTTCTACTATTTCCGTATGGTAGAGCGCTCTATGAACAAGTCTTCAAAAATAAAAGCAAAGTGATCACGATCAGAGTCATGCTTATGAGAGGCTGTAAATTTGGTTCAGAGAATCGTAACAGATCAATGTTCACAAGTTAAATTACCCCCCCCCACGTAAATTGTCGTTAGGAATACTTTCTCAATTTTAAGACTGGAAAATTGTAAAAGGAGGCTAGACAGCCCTTTTTTGTTTATCATTTAAACAACAAGCCCTTGGTATGACAAAAAAAACATATATCTTTGTGTGTACTTCTGTGTAGAAGGCTTGATTTCCACATTATGCGCCGATTAATTCCAAGCTTAAAGATCCCCTCCGAACATTTGAACGGTTAAAATTTCTTACCTTCCCCCTCCTCCCTGGGGGCCAGAACTGTATTCAAATGCTCTTCCCCACTGCTGGATTCGATGATTAGTTCTTTTTTTTTAAGATCAGCAGCAATTGATTTGATTATGAGAGCTTTAAAACCTAGACCTTGTTAACCTTTTCTTGTGAGCCATTCGCTCGCAAAAGTGAATTAACTCTGCACCTTTGAACAACTCCATGCTAAAATATAAAACGTGTATTCCGCTGAAGAGAATCGACACTTCCGGTTCAAATTCCCCATCCCAGCCAGGGAAGGGTCACATTTGCCGACCCCAGGCACTGAATACAGTCAAATACTTATGTTGCTAAGGAAGAATTATGAAGCCTTGAATTTTTTGGCGTATGATCGAATGTTCGATTTCTCACCAATTTGATTACAGTCATGGTGTACAGAGCAACTGCTTTGCGAGGGTTGGCCGACGCACAGATGGTATTTGGGGCTTTGATGTTCGTCTTTGGAATAGCAAGTTTTTTCTTCACTACAGACTGGACTACGTACGTCGGTTTTGGCATCTGGGTTGGCGTCTGGGTAAGTTTCGTCTAGCTTTTTCGAATAAAAGGTCAAGATAATAGGCATGTTGTTGCACGCTTATTCGACTGCAGTTACATAGTTGACTCTTTTGCGGCAGGTTCAATGTGAGGCTTACGGTTCACTGGCACTTGGTCATTTAAGAAGGCACTACTTCCACTAAAAACCTGAAATCACAGCCCCAAAAATTATTATGCATACACTTCTTGGTTAAAGAAAACAATGGCGAAAAGGACAGGTTGTATTTAGGACCGGGGATTTGTTTTCCAATTGTATGAGGCGAAGAGAAAATTTTACCAAGCTACCAATCAATGAGAAGCAAACTGGTGTGAATGTGGAACTGACTGAAAAAAGAAGGCGTTTGAAACAAATCAATTTAAGGATGGGCTCGGCCTTGACGGTGTGCGCACTCTGATTGCGTTGCATTGTGGTAGCGATAAGTTCATTGTGGCGGTGAAAGCGGCAGAAATAAGCAGATTTTGACTGAACATTCCGTAAAAGTTAGGCCATTCCTTTTTCCCTCCGCCACAGTTGAAAGTAATTTGTTTTATTTTGAATGTGTTTAAGTATTTGTCGCAATGTCAGTTGGTTGTCAAGGACAAACGGAATCACTGTGGTGAAGTAAGTAATTTGAGACCAATTTTCGAGAATGCCAAATGTATCGTACGTCGTTTTTTGAAGTCTTTATTTATCCAGGGATTTGGATGGTCGCTTTGATCAAAAGCTCTAACCAAATGCTCTCCAACGGTATTCGTGTTTTGTTTATTTTAAGAGCGAGCGTTTGAGACCGGTTATGGCGGCGAAAAGGCTTATCGTTGTGTATAACTACAGAGTATTGTGTTACATAGCGTTACGTTATTGTAAGGACGTTTCCTATTTCTAATCAATCGTGTTGTAAATCTGCTTTCTTCTAGCGCTTGAGCAAACTCCCACAACTTTAAAACATACATTTGAATTTACTCACAGATTCTTTCCTCGAAATTTACAGAGGTATTCTTCGTACACTAATCATCGCTGGAAGTGAATAATACTTTCCGCTATTGAGGTTATTAAATGGTTTTGAAGAAAAAATTGTCATGACAGTTCCTGAACTTGAGTTTTTTTGCCAAACCAGTACCATTCTTATTATTTTTCAAAAGTGTACATGCGCTTTTTTTCTTACGTGCTCTCTAATTGACAAGTGTCAGATTGGGACAGATAGTTGCGAAAAAAATGTTTCTTTGGAAGCCTTTTAAATCGCCTTTATCGCTACATAAATAAAAACTTTATCGGTCTCTCTCTTTCATGTGCATTATCTCTGTTTTAACTACCATTCACTCGCCCGAAAATTTTTCAGTTTTAGGACGATCTGGGTAGTCTGCCTTTTGATAGGCAATTGGGAATGCGCCACTGGATGGGGGTCACCATTTTATGGGGTACTGCCTTGTGATAGGCTAATGCCACTCGATGGGGTCACAATTTTATGGCTGGATTGATTACAATGGGGTTGCATTTTCCTCAGAGTTACTAGAATGGGGTTCATCCCACTTTTTTGAGATTTTGGGGGTAGGAAAATTGTAATAGTGTAGTTTGATCGTCCGGGTGAGTGTAGTCCTGAGAAGGACTGTTGTTAAATCATTCGTTGCCAATACATTTTATATATATATATATATATTGCATATATATATTTTTTATATGTATATTGCATCATTTTTATATATATATATTGCATCATTTTTGCATACTTACAGTTCGTTTCACAAAAAGGGGCACATAACTGGATATGTAGGGCTAAAAAATGAAAACTATTCAATGTTGTAATCCATCAAAATATTTTTGCCCGCGTGCAATTGTTCTTAATACAGCATGTGATCAAATAAGCCCTAGCTAAAATTGGTGAATATCCTTGGATATCTAGCCCGACTTATATTCCCCAATCAGTCAAATCCTTTTGGTCAATACGATAGAAGCCTTCGTTTAAACTTGAATTCGAGATGAAGGGCATATATTAACTGCAACAGAGGAAGAAACATGATTTTTTACATAATATCCACGGACAAATATCCGTGCATATTTTTTAGTGTCCGATGGAAGCTGTTGTTAACTTATTGCAAGTTTAAAATCATGTGCCCTGTTGTCCAGTCTAGCTTTGTTCTTTGTTCTTTGTTTGCATCGTGGAACAAACATTACGTTCACTAGACAAATATCTCTCTAGTGAACACTTGTATAGTGTTAATAATGATCATGATGAACAGTTTATGCTGGGCTAGTGACATTTGAAATAATTAGTATTCATCGTGAACCATTGGGACTCTTAGTTTTGAATGTAGTACAGTCAACTTCCCTCTAACTAGACACACGCTGTTTTCCTGTCCGCAGTAGCTCAGTTGTAAACCTACCTAGTAAATGGTTTTGTTCATTCTATCAACCTTATTTGGTGAAATGGCAAGTTGTGTTTTTTAATGAGTTTTAGACTATAAATATTTATTCACCCTGCTGTTTATTTACTTTGACTATTAAGACAAGGACCAGCCAGCAAGAGATGTATGTACAGCCTCGGTACATGAACCCAAGGACACAGCCTGGTGGGGTTTTAATGCAGACTGAAGATGGTGTGGTGCCACAGGGATACCCAGCAACAGGCCAGCAACCTGCGTAAGTCCTCCTGCAGGTAACTAGAAATAAAACGTTTTCTACTGATACAAATGAAATGAATCCGAGTTTGAACAAAACAAAGTTCCAGGCAAAGTATCAAATGTTTTTTTTCTTATTTAGTTTGTTTGTCAGAAAACAAATTAATTATTATTCCGTGCAGTGAGGTGTTTACAATGGAAATTCAATTTTGGTCTAAAGTTATCCATGACTACATTGATTGCAAGAGAGTATACTTCAGAAAGGTTTAAAAGGGGAAAAGAGGAATGAATGCTGTCATTTAGATGCGTAACACGTAGATTAACATATTCTCTGTCCTCGTCCTCTTAGTGTTGTTGTTACTATTGTGTGTTTATTAGGCATTTTTTTCAGATATCAGGAAATTGATATCTGAAATTCTAAGAGTGACTTGCATCTAATCTCCCCTTACAATATAACCCCTGAATTACACATTAAGGTAAAAAGAATGAGGGAAATGGTCACCAACTAAAGAAGCTCTCGATTGTTAAACCAATTCTACAAAGATAGAATGGAGTAGATGTATGCTCATGTTATGGTGTACAGGGTTAAAAGGCTGGTATGGTGCAACTAAAGCTGGTGATCTATACATTCAGTATGGTAAATTTTTTAACTTGATGCACGAATAAAGAAAAAATTCGAGTTTGTTATGAAGCTATTGATGGCCCAATTCACCCGAGTGAGCTCTCTGTAGCTCAATGACAGCGCACAAAATCCAAAGGCCTTGTGTCTAGTTCAATATGGGTAACTCAGAGGTTTTTTGCCCCATGCATTTGAAAAAATGAAGAAAATCGTGCCCCACGTATATGCTGTCATGAAGTCTGAGGTCAATTGTGTTCTAGGTCTGAAAATATTTTAACATTGTTCATTTGACAGCTTGGAGCGATTGTACAGCCTGGAGTTGTTGCAGAGCCTCGCATGGTTTCACAACCTAGGGTGGTTGCTCTGCCTGGGGTTGACTTCTAGCGACCCAATTACTGGGCTACATGAATCCATACATTCACTACATGAATCAGAAGTTACATCTGAAGACCTTTGTAGTGTAATTAGGGCATGCTTTAGAAGTTTTGTGTTCGTAAACTCTTGTTGTGGAGTGGGAAAGGAATAGGAACCATAGGAGAGGAGTGGTTAAAGAGGACAATAGGATAAGAGAGGAGAGGGTGAAAAGTGCGAACTGAACGAGGGTTGAAGAAGGGGTGCGGGGGAAGTGTCAAGGATACGAGAAGTCACGGATATTGAAGCCCGGTTAGAAGCAAGAGATTCTTTCCCCCTTTTCCCTCCCTACCCATCTCTTTCCCAACTAAGGTAAACCTGTGCCTCCAGGATGTGTATGTTTATATAATAAGCTGAATCACTGCTGCATTTTGATTGGCTCATTCATAGATGATGTGACTTTTAACAGTTTTTTTGCTTCTTTCTTATATATAACAAATCAGGAGCCCTTTAATGAGCTCCTGGTAAATATGGGTAGACAGATGACATCACAATGTAGCTGCGCCTCGTGTGTCACTTTTTGGATCTTACCATGTTATGACGTCATCTACTATCTCTTACTAAGCAGAGATATAGCAGCTAATAATCTGCACGTTTACGATACACCACAAACGAACCCAACAGAACGATATAGCATTACCCTCTTACTAATATTTCCGCATGCTAGAGCCCTCTAGGAACAAGTCTTCAAAAATAAAATCAGAGTGATCAGGATCAGAATAATACTTATGAGAGGCTGTAAGTTTGGTTCAGTGAATCGTAACAGTTCAACGTTGACAGGTTAAATTACTTCCCCGTAAAATTGACGTTAAGAATACTTACTCAAGTTTAAGACTCCCCCGTAAAATTCACGTTAAGAATACTTATTTAAGTTTAAGACAGGAAAATTGTGATAGGAAGCTGAACAGCCCCTTTTTGTTTATCATTTAAACAACAGCCCTTGGTATAGCAAAAAAAAAGCATATCTTTGTGAAAGTTCTTCCCTTCCCCCATCCTCCCTGTGGGCCAAAACTGTACTCAAATACTCTACCCGACTGCTGGATTAAATGATCAGTTTTTTCTTAAAGATTAGCGACCGCAACTTTCTTTTCATTCACTATTTGAGCTTTAAAAACCTAGACCTTGTAGACCTTTTCTTGTGAGCCGTTCGCGTGCAAAAGTGAATTAACTCTGTACCAGTCCGGGCCATAACCATTTCTGGATACTTGATGACGTCACCAACATGGATGTCGTAGTGGGACATCGAGGAAACTCAATCATTACTTTATTCGAGCCCTAGCGACTTAGTTCCCTACCCATATCCCATGAAACCTTGCAAAATTACAGAAGACAAGCAATTACACACAACAAGCAAAGAACTGATGGTGATCGCGATGACGTGAAGGAAAAATTCAGATGAAAAGTCGGGTGGAGGTCCATGTTTGCGAAGGGCTCGATCGAGGAATAACCTCTATTTAGTTGAGGTTTTCAGGTATGCAACATTTTTTTTGATTCCTAAAAAAAATCTTTTAAAAAACTAGAATAAATTTGCTTCCAATTTGTCAAAATTCCAATCGAGTGCACGAGGTTTTTGCTCGAGTGCACAAATGTTGAAAGTCTGTTAGTGTGCAAACTACCAGACGGATTCCTTTGTTCAGATCCATCGGAGTATCGTGTAAACCATAAATTTTAACCATACGTTGTGGCCGGCCAATTTAAAGTAAAAGGACAATTATTTATCGGACCTTTGTAAGCCTACATTGTGAATTACAGATCAAGCCAACAGCATGGATGAACACATTCAGTATCTCGAGACACTTTGTCGTCTTTGTGGCACAAATCTGCCACGGGCCTGGGTCAGTGCTATAAACAAAGAATATTTCAAATCGGAGCTCTGGATGAAATTTCAAATCAATGTCGATCTTGACATCAGAGAGATTCATTCAGCCAAGGCGAATGCACACTAAAAGATAATTTCAGGAAATCACGGATCTAACACGTAAATGTGATTATCCAGCGAGTAAGTTCTCCTTCGGGCAAACATAAAACAAAGAGGTATTCGTTCACTGAGCTCTCACATCTTCAGGTATCGTATCCGGGAAATGTGCGATAAGAGCGGCATGAAGATGAAAATAAAGAAATCACATTGGTGGAAAGCCTTGCCGAAGTGTCTCTATTACAGCATTCCGGAAAGAAAGGTTGGAGTTTAACTACACGAACTGATGAGAGTGAAATTTTCGTCTAAAACCACAAGGGACTTGTCTGTAATTGTGAAACTCGTTTAGAAACACCGCTCGTGCTTTCACATTTTGCAGTGATTACCTAAACAAACTTTCTATACAGGGTGTTCAAATCAAAGGGTAATTGTAAAGGACATATTATTGCTGACTAAAAGCTGTAGGACCGAATTTGTAGTGTTCTGAGACCTAGATTCTCCCGGGAATCGATCAATAGCGCGCAAAATACCTTGTATGATTCTCTTGCATTGAATTCGATCATGTGTATTCGTCTTAATATAGATTGTGACTACTTGATTTTATTTTATCCCACTCATGTATTTATTGGCGTTTATTTTCCAGGTATCATAATTTCAAGATCAAAGCTCCACGTGGAACACCGCTTGTTATTCAAAGTGAAGACGACAACACGTATGACTCGCATGCACTGGCTTGTCTTCTTCCACGAGAAATGGAACGCATTCCAGAGGCTCTACGAGAAGTCCAGATTTTCAGCAGATCGCAGAGAAAGACATACACTTTAGGAGATGTCAAAGGGCAGCAGATCGGCACGGTTCAGCACTTTCTAAACATACAGCTGCATGCTTTGCTTCGATGTGGCAAAATAACCAGGAATTGAAGGGTAAGTTACTGTTTTCTTGCTTTACTGTTACTTTTTCGTAAAGGCTTGATGGACTGAAATTGATAATGTCTATTTAAAATCGGAGAGAAGCAAGATATTGTCTTTCCTCGACCTATACTGGAGAGAAATGAAATTGTCCCGATTCCGCGATCTCACACCTCACTCGTCCCAATTGTTATCAGTGCGCGTTATTTGGTTCAACCTTATTTAATTGGTTTTCTTGTAACCCAAAATAGGGAAATCAACGGAGAACGGACAGTAACATCGAGGCCAAGCTCTACCCTGAAGTTCTCCAGATACAAACAGGCTGGCGGAGGAGCTTTTATTCCTGTGACGCTCTTGGTGGAAGGACCACAGCGTTACAAAGAATTTGTGCTAGAAAGAATGCGAGAATGTCTAGGACATGCATGTTGAATGTTTGAAATAAACGAATATTTTTAATGGTATCTTACGTCCAGTCCTTATTAGCGAATTTTTTTTCAGCTTACTACCGCATTACAACATGGCCGCCACAAAAAAAAAAAAAAAAAATTCAGCTTCTTCTTGTTTCCAGCACCTCTCGGCCAAATTTGCTTTGTTTTGGTTTTGATCTCACCCAATCACAAAGCTCGAAACCGATATCCAGAAATGGTTATGGCCCGAACTGTGTACCTTTGAATAACTCCGTATTAAAATATAGAACGTGCACTCCGCTGGAAAGACTCAATACTTCCGGTTCAAATTCCCCATCCCAGCCAGGGAAGTGTCACATTTCTAACCACCGGAAACTGACAACAGTCAAATGCCTTCGGGTTGCCAGGGAACAGATTTTGAAGCTTTGACTATCTCGGCGTCTGATCTAATATTCGATTTGTCGCCAGTTTGATCACAGCCATGGTGTACAGAGCAGCTACTTTGCGAGGATTGGCCATCGCACAGATGGTGTTTGGGGCTTTGATGTTCGTCTTTGGAATAGCATCTATTTTCGCCACTATAGACTGGACTTCGTACGTTGGTTTTGGCATCTGGGTTGGCGTTTGGGTAAGTTTCGTCTAACTGTTCAAATAATAGGGACCTTAAGAAAAGCACGACGGCGACGGCAACGAGGACGTGGCAGAAAAAAAAGATCTAAAGGGCAGAACAATAGCCAGCATGTGCGTTTTAAAACTATTCTCATTTCATAGCTGTCCTCTGCAAAACCACAACGAGGAATCAAAAAAAAATTGCGTCGCCTGCGAACGGAAACCGCGGCGGCAAGTTATGCAAGTTATTTTTATTTCCCTTTGGAAATCAACGCTGCTTAATATACGTTATGCTGAAGTTGAGGTAAGGTGCCGTAAGAGACAATGAACTCATGCGACTATTTTCGAACAGAAATTCATTTTTTAATCGATGCGTGTCTTCCTTTGCGTGAATGGAATGAATGAGCTTTTAGTGGCAAAGGTTAAGGTAATAGACATTTTGTTGCACGCTTTTTCGACTGAAGTTATATAGTTGGCTCTTTTGCAGCAGATTCAATATGAGCTTACGGTTCACAGGCGCTTGGTCATTTAAGAAGGCACTCCTTCCACTAAAATCTGAAATCACAACCCCATAGATTATTACGCATACAGTTCTTGGATAAAGAAAATAATGGCGAGAAGCATAGATTGTATTTAGGACCGGGGACTTGTTTTCCAATTGTTTGAGGCGGAGCAAAAATCTTACCAATCTATTTTCATTGAGAAGCAAACTGGTGTTCGTCGGGAATTGACGAAAGAAAGACATTGAAAGACAGGCGTTTGAACCAAATCAATTTAAGGATGGGCGTGCACACTCTGATTGCGTTGCATTGTGGTTTCGTTATTTTCCACTTTATGGCGGTGAAAGGGAAAGAATCGGCAGATTTTGACTGAACATTCCGTAAAAGTTAGACCATTCCTTTTTCCTTTCGCCTTAGGTGAATGTAATTTGATTTATTTTGAAAGTATTTTCCGTACGCATATCTCGCAATTTCAGTTGGTTGTCAAGGACAAAAGGAATCATTGCGTTTAAGTATGTAATTTCAGACCAGTCTTCGAGAAGGTCAAATTTGACGTACGTGGTTGGTTGAAGTCTTTATTTATCCAAAGATTTGGGTGGTCGCTTTGATCAAAAGCTCTGACCAAACGCTCCCTAACCGTCCGCGTGTTTTATGTATCCCAAGAGCTAGCGTTTGAGACTGGTTATGGCAGCGAAAAGGCCTATCCTTGTGAATAGCTACAGTGTATTGCGTTACATAGCGTAATGTTGTTGTAAGGACATTTCCTATTTATACTCGATGGTATTGAAAATCTACTTTCTTTTAGCGCTCGCGCAAACTCCCACAACTTCAAAACATACATTTGGGTTTACTTACAGATTCTTTCCTTCCAATTTACAGAGGAATTCTTCATACGTTAAACATTGATGGAAGTGAATGATATTTTCCATAAGGTCATTAAATGGCTTTGGAGAAAAAATTGTCGTAACAGTCATTGAACTTGAGTTTGTTTGCCAAACCAGTACCATTGTTATTTTTTTTCAAAAGTGCACCGATGCTTTCTTTCTCTTACGCGCTCTCTAATTGACGGGTGTCAGATTGTGACAGATACCTGTAAAAAAAATGTTTGAAAGTTTTTTGAAAGCCTTATAAATCACCTTCATCGTTACGCAAATAAGAAAATATCTAGGTGAATTCTCTCTCTTTCATTTATGTTATCTCTGTCTTAACTGCCTTTTACTCCCTCAGAAATTCTTCAGTTTAAGGAGGATCTAAGTAGATTGCCTTGTGATAAGCTAATGGGGATGTGCCACTGGATTGGGTCACATTTTTATGGGGCACTGCCTTGTGATAGGCTAATGGGGGCGCCACTGGGTGGAGGTCACCTTTTTATGGGGTACTGCCTTGCTATAGCCCAATAGAGATGTGCCACTCGATGAGGTCACATTTTTATGGCTGGATTGATTACAACTGGGTTGCATTTTCCATAGAGTTATTTGAATGGGGTCGATGCCACTTTTTTGGGATTTTGGGGGTAGGAAAATTGTGGGCAATCTTTGGCATCATCACATAGCTCTCCAAAGATAACCTCGTTAAAAGGTTATATAATGAAGATACATAAACAAAAAGTGACTGAGTTGGGATCGCGAAAATTATATTTTAGTGAACTCCATCTGCACTTCAGTTGGTGGAGCTTTCTGAGCTTGTTTGATTTGAATTGTATATTTATGGCAAGCAAAACGTGAAAAAATTATCACTTTGACTTGAAGAATACTTAATATGTTCTTATTCCACAATGAGAAATGAATTATTTAATTGATTTTTCTGCTTGTGTGAATTGTAGGTTTTTATCACCGGAATTTTGGGATACGTCGGAGCAAGAAATGATTTCTACCCAAACAGGTGTTTGGTAAGTTACTGGGCTTTTTCAGGAAACCCCTTCAATACAAACTACCTTATTATAGTGAAAGAGCCTCGATTACATGTATTTGATTGATGAGCCAAAAAATTAAAACTGAACGCTTTAAAGAAAACATGCATCAATATATTAGGTAAAAATGAAAGTACATCCTCAAAGATTCACTGCGCATATATTGTTAACCTCCACCTAAAGTTATCCAGCAACGATTTACATGGCCTAAAATGCTGGTGTTGTTCAAGTGGCTACAGTGTGTGCCCACCACTAATTCCATCACTCTTAGAAACTGCATGAGCTGAATAATGTCAGCCTTGTTTTGTGTTTTCAGCCATGTTAAGCACTTCCTCAAACATTTAAGAGTTTTGAAAAGTTTAATATGTGCTTATGTGCATATGTGCCCTGTTTGATGAAAAAATTAAAAAATGATATGGATCTTGAATATTATTTTAATATAAATATTCTTATCAAATGGGATCAGTGAGCGAGTCTGGATAATTATAAAAATGATAATAATAATAATAATAATAATAATAATAATGATAACAATAAAAAGATACCAGTAACCAGGGCCCAGATTATCTAGGGCTACCCTTAGTAAGGGGGAGAGGTAAGATGAACTCCTCCTCTCCTGCCCCATTTACAGCATTTTTCAATTTTTCTTGGACATTTTCAAAGACCAATACTCAATTGATAAATTGGTCAAAAATAGATAAATTAATAAATAAAGAAAGAGAAAAATGAAGACGGAAAGGAAGAGAGAAAAAAAAGAAACAACAGAAACAACTCAACTAGCAAATCAGTAATACACATTACCTTTAGGTTAATAAAATACACATAATAGTTATCCTGAACTGAATTTTTCTGAATGAAACTTTTCAGCCTTAATAACTCTTGTGCAAGCCTAATTGATTAAATATAAATTTAAGGTAACTTTTCAAGGAATAAGTTCTTTAATTGGAAATTGAATTAAACATCCGAGGAGCAACTGGCCAATTTTTAGGCTAAGATTTTATGAAGAGTAGGTGGTTTTTCCATTGCTCTGTGAGACCATTTTAATTGTACTTGACATATTTGCAGTTGGCTTTCAATGAAAATAAAGATCAGTTTTTTAACCTGAGAGAGTGCACCGTCAAAATTCCAACAACCAAGCTCTTCTCTGACAAGCCACAATCTCCTCCTTCTCTCTTAAAAGACGTTAAAATTACACTAACAGTAATTCTTTCCTATATTTTATGGCCTATCATAGGTACTAAAATTTTTATTAAATGGGAAAAATATACACTGTTCAGCAAATTATGTCATTCTTTTTAAGCTAAGAGGCAATATTGATGGACAAAAACAATTTCCTATCTGAAAGCCCTGGAATCTTGAGTGAAAAATAACTGGCGTTTTGGCCCTTTATAAGTTTTGAATAATTAACCCACCCTCTGAAACAAGTCCCAATCTGAAAACCCTGGAATGTAACACCCCTCACTCCTTCCCTTGGGTTTTTCAGAGAATTTAAAGTCCTTACGAAAATTGAATTGAATGGGGAGCAGAAATGGCGCGGTGGTGAGAGTGCTCGCTCTCATACTGCTATGTGCGGGGTTCGATTGCTGGACCTGCAGTCACATATGCATGGGTTGAGTTTTTTATTAGTTGTCGTTGTTGCTCCGAAGGGGTTTTTCTGCAGGTCTTTCGATTTCCCTCTATCCACAACACCACAACCTGGAGATAGTGGACAGGAAGAGCCACTTAATGAAATGTCCGCTGCTAAATTATAACTAATAATTGTTATCATTATTATTGATAAAAAAGATTGGTATGAGACTTAATACGTTTAATTTATGTACGTTTACCAGGAGATGGTCCAGTTTGAATTCTAATTGAATTGTGTGGTGTGTCTTTATCAACAGATTGGATGTTTTATGGGTTTCTCTATCACGGGTTGTGTCTACTCAGGTACAATGTTCATCTGCTATAGCATTACTCTCGCAGTCTACGCTGAAATGAAGAAATACTGTGACAGTTATAAGACTTATTCTCCATACCGCTACAAAAGTTACCGTTATGGTACCAACAAGTACTATAATTGCTATGGGAGCTCTGGCCTCAGAGCTACAGCAGAAAACTTGGCTGGTTTAGGCTCTTGTCTTCTTATTTTGTCCTTGGTTGAGTTGGTCGTGGCCATTGCGTCATCCATCTATTGTTGCAAGGCAGTGTGTTGTAACTCAGGAAGAGTTGGGAACACAGTAAGTAATTACCACCAACAATTCGGTTGTTAATGTTTAAAGCTATCTTTAAATCATTTGTTGCCAATATCTTTTTTTTTTAATTTTTTTATAAATATTGCATCAAATATTTTTTAATACTTACGGTTAGTTTCACAAAAAAAGGGGCACATAACTGGACATGTGGGGCTAAAACCGAAAACTATTCAGTGTTATCATCCATCAAATATTTTTGCTCGCGCGAAATTGTTCTAAATTCATCATGTGATCAAATATGCCCTGGCTAAAAGTGGGAAATATCCAAGGATGTATAGCCCAACTGATATTCCCCAATCAGTTAAATCCTTATGGTCAATATGATAAAAGCCTTCATTTGAACTTAAATTGAAGATAAAAGAGCATATAGATACTTTTACAAAAGAAGAAACATACTTTTTTGTTGTTGCTCAAGTGGGACCAGAGAATACTGAAATGGAACTTAAACCAGCAAAAATTAAGTTGTTCACAAACACTTTCCCCGCGCAATTTGCAAAAGTATGTTGAAGGATGATATACACGCCAAAAAAATACCCTTATATTTGTCCTTGGACATTATCTGTTCTCTTGTTCATCATAACCCTCTCGGAAGGCTGTTCGCATCTCAGAAGACAGTTCGTATCTCGGAACAGATATATTAATGTCCACGGACAAATATCCGTGCACATTTTAGTGCCCGATGGCAGCTATTGTTTATTCATTGCAATTTTAAAATCTTGTGTCCTGTTTCCCAGTCTAACTTTGTTCTGAGAAAATTGTTAGCATCATGGAACAAATATCTCTGCATTGAACACAATCCCACTTGTATAGTATTAATAATGATCATAATGAACAATTTATACTGAGTTATGGACATTTAAAATAATTATTATTCATTGTGAACTAATGGAATTTTTAGGGTTTGAATGTAGTACAGTCATCTCCCCTCTAACAGACACACTCATTTTTCCTGTCCACAGTAGCTCTGTTGTAAACTTACCAAGTGAATGGTTTTGTGCATTCTATTAACCTTATTTGGTGAAATGACAGTTAGCAATTTTGATGAATTATTAGACTTTAAATATTTAATCTATCAGGCCCCAGATGTTTGAAGGGTGGATAACACTATTCACTGGATAACTCCCTATCCGCTGGATAGCGCATTATGTTCTATTAACCTTTTAACTCCCAGATCAAATGTTTCATTCTCCTTACTGTCAACCATACAATTCTTACAATGCTAGCTCAGAGAATTAATTATTGGATCAAGTAATTATCCCCAAATTGATATTTTTCTTTATTCTCATCGCTTATCTGGTTGATATTGTATTGATATTGTGAGGAGAAATTCTGTGTTGGTCACTAATGGGAGTTAAAGGGTTAATTCCTATCATTGGATCAAGTAATTATCCCCAAATTGATATTTTTCTTTATTCTCATCGCTTATCTGGTTGATATTGTATTGATATTGTGAGGAGAAATTCTGTGTTGGTCACTAATGGGAGTTAAAGGGTTAATTCCTATCAGCTGGATCGCGATTTATCCATTGGATAGTGTTATACGCTCTTTGAACAACTGGACCCTTGGCTGATGTTTAATTATTTTGACTACTAAGACAAGGACCAACCAGCAAGGGAATTGTTTGCTTGTGCCAATGAGTAAATAGCTATGTTTTGTAAACTGTAGTGCTTGTAGCCAATAATTATACAGAGCACTTTAGCTATATAGAGACCCTTTGTAAATAGCCCTAGTTTTAATTGTACTAATTTTATATTGTAAATAATTATTTAATTCAGCCTTTGGCTGCAGCTTAGTTATTCTTATGAAACTCTCTATCTCAACCAACCAGCAAATGACTTTTGTACAGCCTCAGCAGAGGGCACAGCCTGGTGTGGTTTTAATGCAGACTGAAGGTGGTGTGGTGCCACAGGGTTACCCAGCAACAAGCCAGCAACCTGTGTATGTCCTCCAGCAGGTAATTAGATATAAATAATTATGTACTGATACAAAGTAAATATATCAACGTTTGGACATGCAAAGTTCCAGGCAGTTTACTATAAACTTGGAGTGATCAAATGTTTTTTTTTGGTTTAGTTTGTTTTTTAGAAAACAAATTAATTAGTATTCCATGCGGTGCAGTGTTCACAATGGAAATTCAATTTGGTCTAAAGTTATCCAAGAATACATTAACTGCAAGAGAGTATACTTTAATAGGTTTAAATAGGGGAAAAGAGGAATGAATGCTGTTATTTAGATGCATAAAAGTGAGTGATCAGCATCTAATTTCTCATTACAATATAACCCCTGAATCACACATTAAGGTAAAAGGAATAAGGGAAATGGTAACAAACTGAAGAAGCTCTCGATTGTTAAACAAATTCTCCTGATCAGGTGCCTTAGGAAACACTATATATTAAGGACAGTATGGAGTAAATGCATAGTCGTGTTATGGTGTAAAGACTATTAATAGGTACTGACACATACATTCTGTATGGTAATTTTTTGAGCTTGATGGGTGAATAAAGAAAAAATCTGAATTTGTTAGATATGAACCTACTAATGGCCCAGTTCACCTGAGTGAGCTCTCTGTAGCTCAGTGGCAGAGCACAAAATCCAAAGGCCTGGTGTCTAGTTCAATACAGATAACTCAGAGATTTTTGCCCCATGCATGTGAAAAAATTGGAGAAAATCTTGCCTAATATGCTGTCAAGAAGTCTGAAGTCAATAACGTTCTAGGTCTAAAAATATTTTGGCATTGTTCATTTGACAGCCTGCAGTGGTTGCACAGCCTGGAGTGGTTGCACAGCCTGGGATGGTTGTACAGCCTGGGATGGTTGCACAGCCTGGGGTGGTTGCACAGCCTGGAATGGTTACACAGCCAGGAGTGGTTACACAACCTGGGATGGTTGCACAGCCTGGAGTGGTTACACTGCCTGGGGTAGTTTCACTGACTGGGGTGACCGTTTAGCAACCCAATTACTGGGCTACATGAATCCATACATTCACTACATGAATCAGCAGCCACATCTGGAGACTTTTGTAGTGTAATTAGGGCATGCTTTAGAAGGTTTGTGTTCGTGAGCTCTTGTAGTGGAAGGGGAAGGAAATAGGAACCATGGGAGAGGAGTGGTTGGAGAGGACAAAGGATAAGAGAAGTCACAGATATTGAAGCCCGGTAAAAAACAAGAGATTCTGTCCCCAACCCACCCCCCCACCCACCTCCGTCTCTTTCCCGATGTAGGTAAAGCTGTGTCTCCAGAACCGGTATGCTTATATAATAAACTGAATTACTGCTGCATTTATTTTGATTGGCTCATTCTTATAATCTTTTGGAGGACAGACATAGATGATGTGACCAAATACGGGAAGACAGATGACGTCACAATGTGGCTGTGCCTCGTTTGCCACTTTTTGGATCTAACTACATTATGACGTCATCTATCATCTCTTACTAAACAGAGATATGTCAGCATGAAATCTCTTTGTTAATTCGTAAGGTATATTTCAGCTTTAATGTTTGAGAAGATACGGGAAGGAATAATATGCCGGATTTGCCTTTTCTCAGGAAATGATGATTTAGATGTGACACTGTATTGTTTAAATTGAAGAACTGAATGTGGCTTTTAATCCTTAATTGCAGCCTGTGTTTTACAATTTTAACTATAGTAGTAATACTTATAATAAGCTAACGTTGTGACTCGAATGATTATCCATTTGTTCATATTACAATAAAGTATGTCAAACATGCAATTTTTTCATGTATATGGGTGCGAAATTTTGTTTATGTATATTCTATTTTCATTAACTACGAAACCTGAAGATATCAATGTGTAAAATGTTGCGTTTATTAATTGTTGCCGTTCTTTGGTGACTGAATCCTCCGTCACTAACAATGTTTGACAGGAATACTTTGCAAAAATAGAACCGAATTATATTTTAAGCTTTTTACTTTTCAAGATGAACAAGAATCTGTACGTTTACGATACACCACAAACGAACCGAACAGAACAATGTAACGGATTGAAACTGATCAATCACAACCGAATTACACCAACTGAGTCTTATACCAACATTATGGCTGAACAAACCAATCAGTTCACATGAATCAAACAACAACTATTCAATTAATTCTGATGATGACTTCTGCGCAGGTTGTCGAAATATCAGTCACTATTACTGACAACAGTCCTTCTCAGGACAATTTTGGTACTATCAACTGAGTTGATAACGTAAACTGGCCACCGTAAAGAGTTTTAAGGCTGACGTTTCGAACGTTAGCCCTTCATCGGAGCGAGGTCGCGAATTATCATGTTATACTCTCCCACCGACGTAGCTTCTCAGGACTACCCTCACTTAGACGATTAGACTACACGATCAAACCTACATCTTCAAATGGCTTTTTAAAGTGGAGTACACGAACGATTTTGCTGAGGGTTACTTCACTAGATTGTTATTGACTTCGAGGAAGAGAATCTCAAGACTTGTAAAAAACAAATCGGGCTCCCGCTTTTTGGTCGACTGATGTTGTTAATCACTCAACGTATGATTACAGACCGAATCGAACCCCTCCTAGTCCTATTATCATTATTAGGCACGCCTAAAGTTTGTGCACAAGAAGATGTTATAACGTTAGTCTGAATAACACATTCCCACGTAAATTGACGTTAGGAATACTTTCTCAATTTTAAGACTGGAAAATTGTAAAAAGGAAGCTAGACAGCCCTTTTTTGTTTATCATTTAAACAACAAGCCCTTGGTATGACAAAAAAAACCATATATCTTTGTGTGTACTTCTGTGTAGAAGGCTTGATTTCCACATTATGCGCCGATTAATTCCAAGCTTAAAGATCCCCTCCGAACATTTGAACGGTTAAAATTTCTTACCTTCACCCTCCTCCCTGGGGGCCAAAACTGTATTCAAGTGCTCTTCCCCACTGCTGGATTCGATGATTAGTTCTTTTTTTAAGATCAGCGACTGCGAATTTCTATTCATTCACCAGCAATTGATTTGATTATGAGAGCTTTAAAACCTAGACCTTGTAAACCTTTTCTTGTGAGCCATTCGCTCGCAAAAGTGAATTAACTCTGCACCTTTGAACAACTCCATGCTAAAAAATAAAACGTGTATTCCGCTGAAGAGAATCGACACTTCCGGTTCAAATTCCCCATCCCAGCCAGGGAAGGGTCACATTTGCCAACCCCAGGCACTGAAGCCTTGAATTTTTTGGCGTATGATCGAATGTTCGATTTCTCACCAATTTGATTACAGTCATGGTGTACAGAGCAACTGCTTTACGAGGGTTGGCCAACGCACAGATGGTATTTGGGGCTTTGATGTTCGTCTTTGGAATAACAAGTTTTTTCTTCACTACAGACTGGACTACGTACGTCGGTTTTGGCATCTGGGTTGGCGTCTGGGTAAGTTTCGTCTAGCTTTTTCGAATAAAAGGTCAAGATAATGGGCATGTTGTTGCACGCTTATTCGACTGCAGTTACATAGTTGACTCTTTTGCGGCAGGTTCAATATGAGGCTTACGGTTCACTGGCGCTTGGTCATTTAAGAAGGCACTACTTCCACTAAAAACCTGAAATCACAGCCCCAAAAATTATTTTGCATACACTTCTTGGTTAAAGAATTATGGCGGTGAAAGCGGCAGAAATCAGCAGATTTTGACTGAACATTCCGTAAAAGTTAGGCCATTCCTTTTTCCCTCCACCACAGTTGAAAGTAATTTGTTTTATTTTGAGTGTGTTGAAGTATTTGTCGCAATGTCAGTTGGTTGTCAAAGACAAACGGAATCACTGTGGTTAAGTAAGTAACTTGAGACCAATTTTCGAGAATGCCAAATGTGACGTACGTCGTTTTTTGAAGTCTTTATTTACCCAGGGATTTGGATGGTCGCTTTGATCAAAAGCTCTGACCAAATGCTCTCCAACGGTATTCGTGTTTTGTTTATTTTAAGAGCGAACGTTTGAGACCGGTTATGGCGGCGAAAAGGCTTATCGTTGTGTATAACTACAGAGTATTGTGTTACATAGAGTTACGTTATTGTAAGGACGTTTCCTATTTCTACTCAATCGTGTTGTAAATCTGCTTTCTTCTAGCGCTTGAGTAAACTCCCACAACTTTAAAACATACATTTGAATTTACTTACAGATTCTTCCCTTGCAATTTACAAAGGTATTCTTCGTACACTAATCATCGCTGGAAGTGAATAATACTTTCCGTTATTGAGGTTATTAAATGGTTTTGAAGAAAAAATTGTCATGACAGTTCCTGAACTTGAATTTTTTTGCCAAACCAGTACCGTTTTTATTATTTTTCAAAAGTATAAATGCGCTTTCTTTCTTACGTGCTCTGTAATTGACAGGTGTCAGATTGGGACAGATAGTTGCGAAAAAAATGTCTGAAAGTTTCTTTGGAAGCCTTTTAAATCGCTTTTATCGCTACATAAATAAAAACTGTATCGGTCTCTCTCTTTCGTGTGTATTATCTCTGTTTTAACTACCATTCACTCGCCCGAAAATTGTTCAGTTTTAGGACGATCTGGGTAGTCTGCCTTTTGATGGGCAATTGGGAATGCGCAACTGGATGGGGGTCACCATTTTATGGAGTACTGCCTTGTGATAGGCTAATGCCACTCGATGGGGTCACAATTTTATGGCTGGATTGATTACAACGGGGTTGCATTTTCCTCAGAGTTACTAGAATGGGGTTGATCCCACTTTTTTGAGATTTTGGGGGTAGGAAAATTTTAATAGTGTAGTTTGATCGTCCGGGTGAGTGTAGTCCTGAGAAGGACTGTTGTCGGTACTAGTGACTGACGTTTCGACAACCTGAGCGGAAGTCATCATCAGAGAGCAATTTGTGAGCAATTTTTGGCATCATCACATGGCTCTCCAAAGATGACCTAGTAAAAGGTTTTATAGGGTAGATAAATAAACAAAAAGTTTCTAAGTTGGGATCGCGAAAATTATATTTAGTGAACTTCATGAACTCCATCTGCACTTCAGATTGGGGAGCTTTCTGAGTTTTTTTTGATGTGAATTGTATATTTAAGGCCTGCAAAACGTAAAAACGTTTATTACGTGGACTTGAAGAGTACTTAATGTGTTCTTAATCCACAATGAGAAATGAATTATTTAAAAGATCTTTCTGCTTGTGTGAATTGTAGGTTTTTATCACTGGAATTTTGGGATACGTCGGAGCAAGAGATGATTTCTACCCAGACAGGTGTTTGGTGAGTTACTAGGAATTTTAAGGAAACGTTTTTTGGATAACTTCCCTATCTCAATACACACTACCTTATTATAATAAAAGAGCCTTGATTACATGTAACTGATTAATGAGCCAAAAATTAAAACTGAATCGTTTAAAAGAAAATATGCATCAATATATTACGCTAGAATGAAAGTACATCATTAAAGATTCACTGAGCATAAAATGGTTTACCTCCCAAAAGTTATCCAACAACGATTTACATAGCCTAAAATGCTAGTGTTTGTTGTTCAAGTGGCTACAGTGTGTGCCCACCACTAATTCCATTGTGTGGTGTCTTTTTATCGACAGATTGGATGTTTTATGGGTTTCTCCATTATGGGGTGTGTCCTCTCAGGACAAATGGCCATCTGCTATAGCATTACTCTTTTAGTCTACGCTGAAGTGAGGACACACTGTAACAACTACAACGATTACGGTTATGATACCAACGAGGACTATGATTGCTATGGGAGGTATGGCCTTCGTAGAGCTACTGCGGAAAACTTGGCTGGTTTTGGCTCTTGTCTCCTTATTTTGTCCTTGATTGAGTTGGTCTTGGCCCTTGCGTCATCCATCTATTGTTGCAAGGCAGTGTGTTGTAACTCAGTAGCAGTTGGGAACACAGTAAGTAATTACCACCGCAGTTCAGTTGTTAATGTTTAAAGCTATCTTTAAATCATTTGTTGCCAATACACTTTTTATATATATATTGCATCAAATATTTTTGCATACTTACAGTTCGTTTCACAAAAAGGGGCACATAACTGGATATTTAGGGCTAAAACTGAAAACTATTCAATGTTGTAATCCATCAAATATTTTCGCCCGCGCGCAATTGTTCTAAATACAACATGTGATCAAATAAGCCCCGGCTAAAACTGGGGAATATCCTAGGATATCTAGCCCGACTGATATTCCCCAATCAGTCAAATCCTTTTGGTCAATACGATAAAAGCCTTCGTTTAAACTTGAATTCAAGATTAAGGGCATATATTAACTGTAACAGAGGAAGAAACATGATTTTTTATATAATATCCACGGACAAATATCGGTGCATATTTTTTAGTGTCCGATGGAAGCTGTTGTTAACTTATTGCAAGTTTAAAATCATGTGTCCTGTTGTCCAGTCTAACTTTGTTCTTTGTTCTTTGTTTGCATCGTGGAACAAACATTACGTTCACAAGACAACTATCTCTCTAGTGAACACTTGTATAGTGTTAATAATGATCATGATGAACAGTTTATGCTGGGCTAGTGACATTTGAAATAATTAGTATTCATCGTGAACCATTGGGACTTTTAGTTTTGAATGTAGTACAGTCAACTTCCCTCTAACTAGACACACGCTGTTTTCCTGTCCACAGTAGCTTAGTTGTAAACCTACCTAGTAAATGGTTTTGTTCATTCTATCAACCTTATTTGGTGAAATGGCAAGTTGCGTTTTTTAATGAGTTTTAGACTATAAATATCCAATCACCCTACTGTTTATTTACTTTGACTATTAAGACAAGGACCAGCCAGCAAGAGGTGTATGTACAGCCTCGGTACATGAACCCAAGGACACAGCCTGGTGGGGTTTTAATGCAGACTGAAGATGGTGTGGTGGCACAGGGATACCCAGCAACAGGCCAGCAACCTGCGTACGTCCTCCTGCAGGTAACTAGAAATAAAACATTTTCTACTGATACAAATTAAATGAATCCAAGTTTGAACAAACAAAGTTCCAGGCGGTGTATCAAATGTTTTTTTCTTGTTTAGTTTGTTTGTCAGGAAGCAAATTAATTATTATTCCGTGCAGTGCAGTGTTTACAATGGAAATTCCATTTTGGTCTAAAGTTATCCATGACTACATTGACTGCAAGAGAGTATACTTCAGAAAGGTTTAAAAGGGGAAAACAGGAATGAATGGTGTCATTTAGATGCGTAACACGTAGATTAACATATTCTCTGTCCTCGTCTTCTTAGTGTTGTTGTTCAGGCTATAGTGTGTTTATTAGGCATTTTTTTCAGATATCAGGAAATTAATATTTGAAATTCTAAGAGTGACTTGCATCTAATCTCCCCTTACAATATAACCCCCTGAATCGCACATTAAGGTAAAAATAATGAGGAAAATGGTCACCAACTAAAGAAGCTCTCGATCGTTAAATAAATTCTACAAAGATAGTATGGAGTAAATGCATACTCATGTTTTGGTGTACAGGGTTAAAATGCTGGTATGGTGCAACTGAAGCTGGTGATATATACAATAAGTATGGTAAATTTTTTTAGCTTGATGCATGAATAAAGAAAAACTTCGAGTTTGTTAGATATGAAGCTATTGATCGCCCATTTCACCCGAGTGAGCTCTCTATAGCTCAGTGGCAGAGCAAAAAATCCAAAGGCCTAGTGTCTAGTTCAATATGGGTAACTCAGAGTTTTTTTGCCCCATGCACGTGAAAAAACGGAGAAAATCTTGCCCTATAAGTCTGAGGTCAATTGTGTTCTAGGTCTGAAAATATTTTAACATTGCTCATTTGACAGCTTGGAGTGGTTGCACAGCCTGAAGTGATTGTACAGCCTGGAGTTGTTGCACAGCCTCGAGTGGTTTCACAGCCTAGGGTGGAGTTTAAGCGACCCAATTACCGGGCAACATGAACCCATACATTCACTACATGAATCAGCAGTTACATCTGAAGACCTTAGTAGAATTAGGGCATGCTGTAAAAGTTCTGTGTTCGTGAGCTCTTATAGTAGAAGGGGAAAGGAATAGGAACCAGGGGAAAGGAGTGGTTGGAGAGGACAATAGGATAAGGGAGGAGAGGGTGAAACGTGCGCACTGAATGAGGGTTGGAAGTGGGGGGGGGGGGGGGGGAAGAGTCAAAGATACTGAGGCCCGCTTAGAGAGAAGGGCGAGAGGTCACAGATATTGAAGCCCGGTGAGAAGCAAGAGATTCTTCCCCCCCCCCCATTTCTTTCCCAACTAAGGTAAACCTGGCCTCCAGGATATGTCTGTTTATATAATAGGCTGAATTACTGCTGCATTTTGATTGGCTTATTCATACATGGTGTGACCTTTAACAATATTTTGCTTCTTTCTTATATATAGCGAATCAGAAGCCCATTAGTGGACTCCTGGCAACTACGGGTAGACAGATGACGTCAAAATGTGGCTGTGCCTTGTGTGCCACTTTTTGGAGCCTACCACATTATGACGTCATCTACTATTACCTACTAAGCAGAGATATGGCAGCATGAAATCTCTTTGTCAATTCGTAAGGTATTTTTCAGCTTTGATATTCGTGAAGATAAAGGAAGCAATGATATGCCAGATTTGCCTTTTATCAGGAAATGGTGATTTATATGTGACACTGTATTGTTTAAATTAAAGTGCTAAATTCGGTTTTTAATCCTTAATGGCACCCTGTGTTTTACTATTTTAGCTATAATAGTAGTACTTATAATAAGCTTAAGTTGTAACTTGAAAGATTATTCATTTGTTTAGTTTTAAGGGGGAGGCCCCACATCAATAACGTTGTCACCTTAACATGAAGGCGTGAAATATTATAATAAAATGTGTCAAAAAGGCTATTTTTCACGTATATGGGTGCGTAATTTTGTTTTGTATATTCTACTTTCATCAACTACCAAACCTGAAGAAGTCAATCTGTAAAATCTTGCTTTTATTAATTGCTGTCGTTCTTTGGTGACTGAATCATTCGTCACTAACAATGTTTGACAGGAATACTATGCAAAAATAGAACCAAATTATATTTTAAGCATTTTACTTTTCAAGATGAACAAGAATCTCTACGTTTACGATACACCATAAACGAACCGAATAGAACAATGTAACATACCCACGGATTGAAACTGACCAATCACAACCGAATTACACCAACTGAGTCTTACACCAACATCACGGCTGAACAAACCAATCAGTTCACATCAATCAAACTTATTACACTGACAACAAGTATTCAATTAATTCTGATGATGACTTCTGCGCAGGTTGTCGAAATATCAGTCACTATTACTGACAACAGTCCTTCTCAGGACAATTTTGGTACTATCAATTGAGTTGATAACGTAAACTGGCCACCGTAAAGAGCGTTAGCCCTTCATCGGAGCGAAGTCGCGAATTATCATGTTATACTCTCCCACCGACGTAGCACAACAGTTTCTTCAGAAACTTTCCCTGCTTCTCAGGACTACCCTCACTTAAATGATTAGACTACACGATCAAACCTACATCTTCCAATGGCTTTTTAAAGTGGAGTACACGAACGATTTGCTGAGGGTTACTTCAATAGATTGTTATTGACTTCGAGGAAGAGAATCTCAAGACTTGTTTTGGTCAACTGATGTTGTTAATCACTCAACGTATGATTACAGACCGAATCGAACCCCTCCTAGTCCTATTATCATTATTAGGCACGCCTAAAGTTTGTGCACAAGAAGATGTTATAACGTTAGTCTGAATAACACATTCAAGATGCCTAAGTTGATCCGTATCGTAATGAAAATATCATTACAGTTTAGATTTGTCGTTTTGCATTAGTGGACGCGGGTATTTGTTGTAGCCCGATATGCACCTGAAATGAAACAAAGTCCTCAAATAAACAAAAACGTTATAAAACAGGTGTAGTTGCTACGGCAACGAATGGTTTTATGACACACAGGCAAACCTATGGTGGTGTTCACAGGATTTGGAAACCCAAGCCCAGATAAAGTACAAAAATCAACCGCATATTGCTAACTCTTGCTTTGAGCCAGTGTGAAGTTTCCTATCTCTTTCTGCTATTTCCGTATGGTAGCACGCTCTATGAACAAGTCTTCAAAAATAAAAGCAAAGTGATCACGATCAGAGTCATGCTTATGAGAGGCTGTAAATTTGGTTCAGAGAATCGTAACAGATCAATGTTCACAAGTTAAATTGTCGTTAGGAATACTTTCTCAATTTTAAGACTGGAAAATTGTAAAAGGAGGCTAGACAGCCCTTTTTTGTTTATCATTTAAACAACAAGCCCTTGGTATGACAAAAAAACGTAAATTTTTGTGTGTACTTCTGTGTAGAAGGCTTGATTTCCACATTATGCGCCGATTAATTCCAAGCTTAAAGATCCCCTCCGAACATTTGAACGGTTAAAATTTCTTACCTTCCCCCTCCTCCCTGGGGGCCAAAACTGTATTCAAATGCTCTTCCCCACTACTGGATTCGATGATTAGTTCTTTTTTTTAAGATCAGCGACTTCGGCTTTCTATTCCTTCACCAGCAATTGATTTTATTATGAGAGCTTTAAAACCTAGACCTTGTAAACCTTTTCTTGTGAGCCATTCGCTCGCAAAAATGAATTAACTCTGCACCTTTGAACAACTCCATGCTAAAAAATAAAACGTGTATTCCGCTGAAGAGAATCGACACTTCCGGTTCAAATTCCCCATCCCAGCCAGGGAAGGGTCACATTTGCCAACCCCAGGTACTGAATACAGTCAAATACTTATGTTGCTAAGGAAGTATTTTGAAGCCTTGAATTTTTTGGCGTATGATCGAATGTTCGATTTCTCACCAATTTGATTACAGTCATGGTGTACAGAGCAACTGCTTTGCGAGGGTTGGCCAACGCACAGATGGTATTTGGGGCTTTGATGTTCGTCTTTGGAATAGCAAGTATTTTTCTTCACTACAGACTGGACTACGTACGTCGGTTTTGGCATCTGGGTTGGCGTCTGGGTAAGTTTCGTCTAGCTTTTTCGAAGAAAAGGTCAAGATAATAGGCATGTTGTTGCACGCTTATTCGACTGCAGTTACATAGTTGACTCTTTTACGGCAGGTTCAATATGAGGCTTACGGTTAACTGGCGCTTGGTCATTTAAGAAGGCACTACTTCCACTAAAAACCTGAAATCACAGCCCCAAAAATTATTATGCATACCCTTCTTGGTTAAAGAAAACAATGGCGAAAAGGACAGGTTGTATTTAGGACCGGGGATTTGTTTTCCAATTGTATGAGGCGAATGGAAAATTTTACCAAGCTACCAATCAATGAGAAGCAAACTGGTGTGAATGTGGAACTGACTGAAAAAAGAAGGCGTTTGAAACAAATCAATTTAAGGATGGGCTCGGCCTTGACGGTGTGCGCACTCTGATTGCGTTGCATTGTGGTAGCGATAAGTCCATTATGGCGGTGAAAGCGGCAGAAATAAGCAGATTTTGACTGAACATTCCGTAAAAGTTAGGCCATTCCTTTTTCCCTCCGCCACAGTTGAAAGTAATTTGTTTTATTTTGAATGTGTTGAAGTATTTGTCGCAATGTCAGTTGGTTGTCAAAGACAAACGGAATCACTGTGGTTAAGTAAGTAACTTGAGACCAATTTTCGAGAAGGCCAAATGTGACGCACGTCTGAAGTCTTCAATTACCCAGGGATTTGGATGTGACGCACGTCTGAAGTCTTTATTTACCCAGGGATTTGGATGGTCGCTTTGATCAAAAGCTCTGACCAAATGCTCTCCAACGGTATTCATGTTTTTTTTATTTTAAGAGCGAGCGTTTGAGACCGGTTATGGCGACGAAAAGGCTTATCGTTGTGTATAACTACAGAGTATTGTGTTACATAGAGTTACGTTATTGTAAGGACGTTTCCTATTTCTACTCAATCGTGTTGTAAATCTGCTTTCTTCTAGCGCTTGAGCAAACTCCCACAACTTTAAAACATACATTTGAATTTACTTACAGATTCTTTCATTGCAATTTACAGAGGTATTCTAATTGCTCTCTAATTGACAGGTGTCAGATTGGGACAGATAGTTGCGAAAAAAATGTCTGAAAGTTTCTTTGGAAGCCTTTTAAATCGCTTTTATCGCTACATAAATAGAACCTGTATCGGTCTCTCTCTTTCATGTGTATTATCTCTGTTTTAACTACCATTCACTCGCCCGAAAATTGTTCAGTTTTAGGACGATCTGGGTAGTCTGCCTTTTGATAGGCAATTGGGAATGCGCCACTGGATGGGGGTCACCATTTTATGGGGTACTGCCTTGTGATAGGCTAATGCCACTCAATGGGGTCACAATTTTATGGCTGCATTGATTACAATGGGGTTGCATTTTCCACAGAGTTACTAGAATGGGGTTCATCGCACTTTTTTTAGATTTTGGGGGTAAGAAAATTGTAATAGTGTAGTTTGATCGTCCGGGTGAGTGTAGTCCTGAGAAGGACTGTTGTCGGTACTAGTGACTGACGTTTCGACAACCTGAGCGGAAGTCATCATCAGAGAGCAGTTTGTGAGCAATTTTTGGCATCATCACATGGCTCTCCAAAGATGACCTAGTAAAAGGTTTTATAGGTAGATAAATAAACAAAAAGTTTCTAAGTTGGGATCGCGAAAATTATATTTAGTGAACTTCATGAACTCCATCTGCACTTCAGATTGGGGAGCCTTCTGAGTTTTTTTTGATGTGAATTGTATATTTAAGGCCTGCAAAATGTAAAAACTTTTATCACGTGGACTTGAAGATTACTTAATGTGTTCTTAATCCAATGAGAAATGAATTATTTAAAAGATCTTTCTGCTTGTGTGAATTGTAGGTTTTTATCACTGGAATTTTGGGATATGTCGGAGCAAGAGATGATTTCTACCCAGACAGGTGTTTGGTGAGTTACTAGGAATTTTAAGGAAACGTTTTTTTGGATAACTTCCCTATCTCAATACACACTACCTTATTATAATGAAAGAGCCTTGATTACATGTAACTGATTAATGAGCCAAAAATTAAAACTGAATCGCTTAAAAGAAAATATGCATCAATATATTACGCTAGAATGAAAGTAC